ATGGAGTCTTTGTGTCCGCATGTCGTTGCGGGCTCGGAGGCATTTGGGCTGCGATATGTTCTTTCTTGAGAGCGTTGCCGTTGGACGTTTGTTTTTTCACAGTTTTGTTGATAGATGGGGTTTCTCGCCTTTGCCTTTGCGTCTTGTTATACTTGGACCCACTCAGGTGCGACACTATGTTAGCAACTACGCCGAGTTTCTGCGGCGGTCTGCTCTTGACGGGGAAGCGTCCGCGCAGTCCTGCCCACGGGGGCGTGTCGGCTGTGCGTTTTGTGCTCGGTGCTTTTGGCGTGAGAGCATGCAGCTTGTATATTTGAGCGGGCCGAAGTGTTTCATGGCAGCGCCAGCGGTGGTTTGGCAGCAGCTTTCGGTAACTCGCTACAGCGTAGTGCTGGCTGTCAACGCGTACTACTCTCACATCATCTCCAAGCAGACGGCGGCTGCTGCTCTGAGCTATGCCAGTGAGTGGACTCCCGGTAAGCGAGTGCGCACGCTGCGAGACAGCATGCCAACCCCTTTTAAGACGAGCTCTGCTTGGCAAGACCAGTGCTAGAGCAGGCATGAAACAATGTTCGACACTAGCTGCTGTGATTGCATTTTTGGGCGCCGCGCGACTCGGAATGAGAAGCATGACGCAGCTATCCCCCAGCGGAACAGAAAGTTCCGAAACCTTATGAAACAACAGCGTGGCTCTGCATAGTGCAAACCGTAGCTAACCTTGAATGCAAACTTATGGGCCGGTTCGCTGCAGCAATAGCATGATCGCGCCACGCTAAAAAGCGATAATCTACATTTAGTAGCCACGAAACTCGGATATGCGAAAGTTTAACCTGAGCTTGTTCAGTGTCGTCATTACGCAGCTGGCGAAAAACAGACGCGACGCGTCCGCACGAAGCATTGCTGCCGGGACTGACAGTCAGTGTGGCATGAGCTGCGCCCGAGCCAAGGTCAGCGCAGCAAGAAAGGCAAAAAAAGGTTCGCGCAGTTGTTTGCGGGATGAGGTGACAGAACGCATGCTAGTTGTCTCCGCGATGTTCATGAGCCCTGCCACAAGCTTGCAGCACAACCACTTGCGCACGGTACATGTGTGTGGACATTTGAACTCACATCCTTGGGAAAAACATAGCATGTGGGGTTATCCGGTCCTTTAATTATTGACCAGCAAAAATCCTTAATGACAAGCACACATCCTTAATTACAAGCAGGTGCTTGTAGATAAGGATTTTGGAAAAGAAACAGATCCTTAATGACAAGCAAAAATCCGGACTTTTGACAAGCAAAATCCTTAATGACAAGCAACAAATCCTTAATCTCCAGCAGGTGCTTGTAATTAAGAATTTTTAACCAGCAAAAACCCTTAATGACAAGCAAAAACCCTTAATTACATGCAGGTGCGTGTAATTAAGGATTGTTGACCAGCAAAAATCCTTAATGACAAGCAACAGTCCTTAATGACAAGCAAAAATCCTTAATTACAAGCGGGTGCTTGTAATTAAGGATTGTTGACCAGCAAAATCCTGAATGACAAGCAACTTAATTACAAGCAGGTGCTTGTAATGAAGCATTTTTGACCAGCAAAATTCCTCACTGACACGGAAATATCCTTAATTACAAGCAGGTGCTTGTAATTAAGGATTCTTGACCACCAAAACTCCTTAATGACAAGCAACAAATCCTTAATTACAAGCAGGTGCTTGTATTTAAGGATTTTTGACCAGCAAAAACTCTAATGACAAGCAAAAACCCTTAATTACACGCAGGTGCTTGTAATTAAGTATTTTTGACCAGCAACAATCCTTGACGACAAGCAACAAATCCTTAAATACAAGCAGGTGCTTGTAATTAAGGATTGTTGACCAGCAAAAATCCTTAATGGCAAGCAAACATCCTTAATTACAAGCAGGTGCTTGTAATTAAGGATTTTTGACCATCAAAAATCCTTCATGACAAGCAAACATCCTTAATTACAAGCAGGTGCTTGTAATCAAGGATTTTTGACCAGCAAAAATCCTTAATGACAAGCAAAAAACCTTAATTCTGTCCCCCAGTTTTCGGTCCAAAACCAGGATTTTCATGTTTTTTTGTCTGAAAGGTGGGGGACACAAAAGCAAAAAAACTTAATTACAAGCACCTGCTTGTAATTAAGGATTTTTGCTTGTAATTAAGGATTGTTGCTTGTCATTAAGGAATTGTGCTTGTTATTAAAGGTTTTTCTGCGAAAAAGGAGTTTTGCTTCCGAATATAAAAAAAAAAAAAAAAAAAAAAAAAATAAAAAAAAAAAAAAAACAAACAAAAAACAGAAATAAAAAAAAAAATAAATAACAAAAATAAAGAAGAAAAAAAAAAAGACAGAAAAAAGAAAAAAAAGATTTTTTGCTTGCAAATCAGGATTTATTCATCGAAAAACTGATTCACCTGTAACTATACGTTTCTTGCCTATCGATTTCGGTTTTCCTCGCGCAACACTGCTTTAACCAGTGTCGCAGGGCTACGTCCAATGGCCTTAGAGATTAAATTGGTCGGCTGGCTGCACACTAAGAAGTAAATTTTGCGGACGCACCTTGAGAAGTAGGGGGGCGCAAAGGCCGAAAAACCCTCTGTATATTTTTTGCTTGTCCTTTCATTAAGGATTTTTGCTGGTCAAAAATCCTTAATTACAAGCAACTGCGTGTAATTAAGGATGTTTGCTTGTCATTAAGGATTTTTGCTGGTCAAGAATCCTTAATTACAAGCACCTGCTTGTAATTAAGGATTTGTGCGTGTCATTAAGGATCTGTTTCTTGTCAAAAATCCTGAATTACAAGCGGGTGCTTGTAATTAAGGATCTGTTGCTTGTCATTAAGGATTTTTGCTGGTCAAAAATCCTTAATTACAAGCACCTGCTTGTAATTAAGGATTGTTGCTTGTCATTAAGGATTTTTGGTGGTCAACAATCCTTAATTACAAGCACCTGCTTGTAATTTAAGGGTTTGTTGCTTGCCATTAAGGATTCTTGCTGGTCAAAAATCCTGAATTACAAGCACCTGCTTGCAATTATGGGTTTGTTGCTTGTCATTAAGGATTTTTGCTTGTCAAACTTCCTTAATTTCAAGCACCTGCTTGTAATTAAGGGTGTTTGCTTGTCATTAAGGATTCTTGCTTGTCATTAAGGTTGTTTTTTGGTCAAACATCCTTAATTACAAGCACCTGCTTGTAATTAAGGATTCTTGTGTCATTAAGCATTTGTGCTTGTCAAGAATCCTTAATTTCAATCAAGGATTTTCACGTGCTCATTCAGGACTTTTGCTGGTCAACAAACAATCCTTAATTACAAGCACCCGCTTGTAACTAAGGATTTTTGCTTGTCATTAAGGAATCCTTACTTACAAGCACCTGCTTGTAACTAAGGATTTTTTGCGTGTCATTAAGGATTTGTTCTTGTCATGGGGGGGCGCCGGCCGTATACAAAAACTGTTTTTTGTAAACAGCTGGGCGGACTGCGAATTTGTCAACATGAAAAGCACTTGTTTCTCCACTCCTCTCCTCTTGGTTTGAAGTTTGAAGTATATAGACGTTTGCGTGTGTCCTCCGTTTGCCACCTTCGTGAGTTTTCCCCTCCTCTCCTTTTGGTTTGTGCTTTGCGTTTTCCCTTCCCTCTCTGTATGCCCCTTCTCGTAAAGTATATGGACGTTTGTGTGTGTTCTCCGTTTGCCACCTTCGTGATTTCTCCCCTCCTCTCCTTTTGGTTTGTGCTTTGCGTTTTCCCTTCCCTCATCTGCATGCCCCTTGTCGTGTCGTGGAGTATATGGACGTTTGTGTCTGCGTTCTCCGTTTGCCGCCTTCGTGATTTCTCTTCTTCTCTCCTTTTGGTTTGTGCTTTGTGTTTCTCTGTGTGCCCCTTGTCGTGTAATTAGCACATGGACGCTTGTGTGTGTGTCCTCAGTTTGCCACCCTCGCGATTTCTCCTTGGTTCCTCACGGCTTCATCAAGCGGGGTCCATCTTAAGACATGTGTGCCCACCAGTGAGGTCCAATCCCAACCAATCCAAATCACAGGTTACGTGAGGCCAAGCTACACACAGAACATTGTTTCTATCGTTGAGTGCCTACTTGAAGGACGCTCGATGCCAACCCTTCGACCATGTTTGCCATTCATCGCCCATTCCTCGGGGTAGGACACACGTAGGGTTTCCACATACTGCATGTGCATAGATGACTTGCTTTTGGGGGGGCTGAGAGCAACGTTGTCGTTTTCCGTTTGCATTACACAAACAATGTGGTTTGCGATGTGCACGACACAGCTGGCGAGAGAGTTGCCGGAGTATTGCAGCATAGCTTCAATACTTGCCGACGCTGTTTTTTCGTGATTGTTGGAGCTCGCATTTTCCGATCAGCCCAAAAAAGCGCAGGGGCCATTTGGCATCCGGATTGTCAAATCACATGCCTTAGCAACCCTTATTCTCAAGCACATGTCTTAAATACAAGCCAGAACCCCTATTTGCGCAATTCCCCAGCCTTTGGACTCTCAGACTGTTAGACCAAAACGTGCAGGTTGTATTTTGGACGGTTCGAACATTTTTGTTTTTCGCGGACCAAGCCAAGGTGTATTTGTTTGGAAATGGTAGGGGCCACATAGAGGATCCCCTGGGTTTAGTGAAGGGTCTAAATGTAAAATGGTTGGCTTGTACTTAAGCAGTATTGGCATGTGAGCTGTGTGAAGACCCCGGCAAATTCCTTGGAAGTTTGATGCTGAATTGGGAGGGGGTTCTATTGGTTGCAAGGGGTTATTGCTGAGCTAGATTTGTGGCGTCATACCTGCAAGTGGCGCCAAGCTTAAAAGCATGTCCTTTCCTTCTGCTGTTGATGCTTAGGTTGTTTGCAGAACTTGCTCTTAAGATGTGGGAAGTCATTGTTTGACTCTGGTTCTGGGAAGCAGGCTGGCCCAGAGTGTTCCTAAAGTGCCGAAAGGTCCGGAAGATTTCCAGCGAGTGACCTCCGATTTTCGGCGCGACCAGGGAGGCAATGGAGGCGGGGGATTTGCTCATCGGCCTTCACTCCTCGGGTCTCCACAGCAACGGCTTCAGCCTGCTGCGGTCCGTGGTGCAAGCGGCCGGCATTCGCTACCAGGACTGGTGACTTTGCTGGGAGGGGCCATGTTTTTCATCGAATGGGGCCCTTTTAGGTTGCGCGTTTGTTTTTGGGTGGACGCTGCTTGCCTCTCTTTCACGCCATCACAACCCAAAATGGGGTCATGTTGGAAAAGAAGGCTTGCTCCTGGTCGAAAACAAAGGTGGCTTTGGTAGAGGGTTGTGTTGCCTTCCTGGTTGGGATTGAGGAGTTGTAAAGATAGCATCAGGTCCCCTTGGCCATTTTTCAATATTTGTGGGTTGTTTGCTACGGGTTGGGCACTTGCCAATGTTTCCTGGAGCAGCTTGGGCAGCCCTGCATTGCCCAGCTCGGGCTGTTCCCAGGGCAGCCCTGTAAGTTGTTTGACATCATTGAAGGAGGGTCTGCAATCCACCAGCCTAGGCCACTGATTCGGTGTATCCAATTGAGCACAAAAGCAAACAAGAAAGACATTCCATGTCCATTGGACAGAGGAAAGCCGAATGATTTGCGTACGCCTTAAGTGGCCCTACTTCGCGTGACCTGCCTCTTGCCGCCTTGTCAGGCAGCCGCTCCCTTCGACCCCACCCGCTCCTTCGGGGAGGTGCTTCTGGCGCCCACCCGCATCTATGTACAGCCCCTGCAGGCGAGCGTGTGAACCCATCACTAACAATGACCAGGACGTGTTGCTGTTTCCCCACTTTTCACCAAAGAAAGGCTATGCCAGTTCATGTGTGTCGAGAAGCATCTGAGCAACGAGTGCGTGGCTTGGAGGCGTCAAGCCAGGCTGCTGCCACCTTTGGTTTCAACAGAAGCCAGGGTCCGCTTGTTTTCAGGCGAGGATTTAGCTGGTGTCCCAGCAAGGAAGCGTACTTGTATTCGGTTGGCGCTGTGCTCAAAGAGGAACATCAACTCGCAATTTCCGATGTGCTGACCATGTTGCCGGAGCTGTAAGAGGATGGCGCCGTTAAGCGTGTTGGAGCTTGAGCGATGAAAGGGATTGCGTGGTCCTATGTAACACGCCAAGCATCTATCAAAATCCCTGTAGGTTTGCCCAGTGTGACAGACTCCTAGACAAGCTCAGCACTTGCAAGCCAAGCAAGCCCAGCAAGGCCCAGTATTGGTTAGTTCGCACTTGTTTCTTAAGTGAGTGTCTTTGTGTCGCAAGACGTGTCAGCCAGTGTCAGCGTCGATCATTGGCTGGCGGGAGAGATATCTTTTGCAGAAAGTAGTCATGCGAGTTTGCCTCATGTAGCTTACCAGTAACTGGTTGGTGGAAGTGAAGTTTCCAACAAATCGAACTATAGTTTGGAGCACGCTTCTTTGCCCCTTCTCTCTCTCGCTCTCTCTCTCTCTCTCTCTCTCTCTCTCTCGCTTTCTTTATTTATTTTTTCGTTCTTTTTTCTTCAGTTCTTTCTTTCGTTCTTTCTCTCTTTCTCTTTACCTTTCTCTCTGCGCCTGACCCTGCGAAAGTGCTGAGGGCGCGAAAGTGCTACGAACACTTGCAGCATTGCCAAACTTTGCCGCACCAATCCAACAAAAGGCCGCGCCTGCCATGGCGCGAAAGGCTCGCTCGTCCGCGCTACTGGGCCCGGGGCCGAGACCATTCCACACCCGTTCCGAGACCATTTCGAGAGGCGCCGCGATGGGTAGCTTTCAGTCAGCCGGAGAAGCCAAAACCCGCAGAGGGTTGCTCTGTTTCGCAATTTTGCAGTCCCGCGCATCACGTCCACTCATTTTTCGCGCATGCGGATTCATTATCTTTCCTGCTCTTATCGCCGACCTACCTTGCAATCCGCGTCGGTAACGAGTCGCAGGCGACAAAGCGGCAAGAGCTGAGTGCACTTCCAGCCCATGGTTACAGAAAGACAGTACATCTACATATGCACATGTACGCATGTACATACATGTATATATATATATATATATGTGTGGATATCTCATCTATGTAGTCAGACATGATCGCCATTGTTGATTATGCTTGGTATGGGGCATGGGTGTTGGCAGCCCGGACTTGCTTCATTGTTCCAGGCCTTGTCAAGGGCGGGCCTGCTGAAGGGCGCAGCGCCAGTAACGCGGGGCGGCCTGTCCCGCAGCATCCCCCGGGTGTTGCCCAAGACGCTGAAAGCGCAGCTCAAGGCGCGGCAAGCAGACTGCAGTTTTAGAAATGTTTAGAATCTTCAAGGGGTTTGGAGATGTTGGATATGTTTGAAGGTCTGGACGAATGCTGCTGACTTGTCAGCTGGCGGCAAGGAAACTGCCAACAACGAGTCAACATGATGAGGTTGGAGATCGGTAGCTTCTCTCTTAGACTTGAGCTCCATGAAAGCCAAGCTATGGCAAATAGTCACGTAGGAGGCATTTGACGGCATGACACTTCTGCAACTTACGACTGTCATGCTTCTCAGCTTCCCGTGTGAGAGTCACGTTCACACAACTTTCGCCAGCATTAAACTGTCTTTCGCGAGGCTCATCACAAACCCACAAGAGAGGCCTTCACTGTTGTTCTTGCAGACGGGCATATGAGAAATGAACGCATGAGTGGCATTCTGTTCCGAACGGGTGCACGGACGGCTGCCTCTATTTAACATCTCTACTCGCACCTCCTTTCTGAGAACCCACGCTGTCTTGCGCCAAACTCTGCGAAATATGGATGTGTTTTCGTAATCATTCAAGCGGGTTGACCCTCACCTTTGAACCCGTTGCTTCGGTCAGTTTCGTTTTACCCTTCCTTTTTCGGGGTCCTTGACTCAAGGCGGAGGCTTGGGAGCTGCCTCCGGTCTTCCGATGGATCGCGGCCAGGCCTGCGGCAGGTCCCAGCTTGCCGCGGCAGTTCGGAATTCTTTCAACAGAATTCTTTGCCCAGCAGGGGTTTCAAGGGTCTGAGCGTGGTTATTTTTGGTTTTGCGTCGCCTTCTCTGCAAACATGAAGCTGGCTGCTGCGCATTACTCTGTCGATTCGCAAATTGGCTGGTATCCAGCTTCCACTTGAACCTGAGTGAACGCCCACTGGCAGATGACTGATCCATGTTAAGCTTGATGTGTCTTAGCTGTATCCTGCCAACATCTGGGATGTGATACGCGCGAGCCACTTGCTGCTGCAGTGTGGGCAATTTGTGGTTGAGATTGTCGTTGCCATTGCTGCCTGTGTTCGTGTTGTTGCTTCCGAAAGGGCCTTCAACAAGCTTCCGCCCAAACCGGCCGACCTATTGCGAAGAAGCCGGACCCAACGAGTTTGCCTTCTGTTCAGATGAACGGATGGTGTCCTGCTGCAACCAACGCGCGCTTCATTCCTTGACGTCTCATTTGGGAAAAGCGCCAGGTGCAAGATCCCTTGTGACGAGTTGGCAGCCACCTTCAACTGCGGCATTGGCATGGTGCTGGTGGTTGCCAAGGACAAAAAGGAGGAGGTCATGTCCCTTCTGAAGAACCTAGGCGTTGATTACACGCCTAACAGCTAACATAAAACTTGCCGATCCGCCCAGCGGCTACTACGGCAAGCGGCACGTATCGTTTGCTTTTGCTGGGCTGAACGTTCAACAACCTTGGTGTGAGGATGTGGTCTATCCATCATTGGCCTGTCAAAACGCACTTCCCAGGGAAAGGCCATACACAGCCATTTCGATTGCATGTTCTGCCCTTTTCGGTCTTTCGAAGGTCAGCTAAATTTGTTGACCCCCGCAAACCGTACCCTTTGCTAGCACTGATTGTTGGCACCATCGCTTGATATTGCGCTTGAGCGAGCTTCCTGGGGTGATAGTTGTATGCAAAACATGGTGCACCCTTCTCGGGGCTTGCCATGCACCCAATGCTTGGGCCAATTGCCCGAGTCAAATGAGCATTTTTCGGGCAGGCAGCCAAAGCAGCTCCTTTGGGCCTCTCACCGCCAGGCTTTTCATGTCAAGGCTTTGGTTGAGGGCTGCCATAGGTGCTATTACATGATATATTTGCCGTACAGCCACATGGAACAGCGGAAGAGTCTATATGCAGAATCGAAACATGCGATTTAAAAACCTCACACAATTAGCGTCACACTTTGCCTCCTATCAAGACGTTTGATGGTGCCTTTTTCCAACAAATTCTGGCATTGAGCCTGGTAGCTGTTGCCATCCGGTTTTCATGTTCAGGTGTCATTGCTTCATGCGCCCGAATCGTACATAGCAATCTCCCCAAAGCGGGTTAGCTGATCTCGAACTCGTCCTGCAGTTTGTACAATCCACATGATCTTTAACCCACAACTGTTTGCACACATGTGGTGGTGTTGACGTCTTTAAATTATTCCCCTTCAAAGCCACAAGAAACCTCAAGCAAGACCGCGTGCATTTCCGCGTGAAGCGGCCGCTCAGGAAGATGGACGAGGAGGCCTGCGTCATCGGAGAGCTGGGGAAGCGCTCGGACGGGCAGCCCCAGACGCACATCGACGGGGCGGAGAGCTGCTGGCTGATGCTCCCGGAGCTCGGAGTTTCGCTGCCCTTCCCACAGGTCTTGTCCTCCCTGCAGGCGGGGATGACATCTCGGGATGTGGCGGGTGGATGTGGCGGGATGGGATGGGAGGTGTGGAAAACTGAAGACTTGGGAGACACCAGGAACAAAATTGATACGACGAATATGTTTGAAGGGACAGGCACGGGGAATGAACACTGTCATTTGTTTACAGGCATCTCTTTTGGCAGGATTCCTGTGCTGCAGGGCAGTAGCACCCAGCTTTCAATTTATTCTGATAGAAATAAATAGAAACGTCAGGGGATCCCCGCTCACCTTTCAAGAAGGGCACTTTACCTCGGTCTCAGTGTGATGTTGCACTCAGTAAGAATTGTGGGAAACATCCCGGCCCGCCATCGTTTGCATGTTGGCACCTGAGGGCTTCAGAGTCGTAAGGCTCAACACGTAGACACGCATTAAGATTAAAGAGCCAGGGCAACACGTTCGCATCTTCACCCCATGTGAATGGACACATGGGCGGATTGGGCGTTTTGTGCCAGGATCCGCACATGGTCTCGCGGCAGCACTGTGTGGTGCTGGGAGGCACCGCCTTGGCCACGCCCCTCAAGGCCTGGCACTCCGCCAGGGAATCCTTCCACCGCGTGAGCAGGTTTGGCCGGTGGCTGGATTCATAGGTATCGTGTTGAACCTGCTCCTTCACTTAGGGCAATGTTTGCGAGGTGGTTCAGTTTGCAGCCATTCGCCATCAGTGGATGTGCGTCCACAAGTTGTGGCACGCAGCCAGCCAACCTTGATACATCGAGAGAAAACTGCGTACAATAGTTACCTGCGACATCATGTCGGAGTTGTTTGTATCATGCATTATCATGCTGTGTTGTCAATATTTTGGCAATTCAAGTTGCAACTTGTAGGCTTTGCATGGTCCTACTTAATGATTAGGCGGCGCTACCCATCCACACGCAGCTTGTTTAGTTCAATCGGCGGCATGAACGCTCACGAGCAGCAAAACGCATCGAACGGTCTGTCTTAGCAGCATTGTTTGCTGAAATTGTAAAACATCATATGGTTCATGTCGAAGGTCATGCACCCTATCTTTGGACATGTGTCTGATATTTGCTTCAAGAGCAATAGGCATTACGGACCTGTGATACCGAGCAATCAGTAATCATAAGCACTCCGACCCAGAACAACCTGAAAGTTGTTCACAAGGGATCCCTCCCTTGCGGAGCACATCAGAATGCTTGAGGGCTTTGGGCTGGTGCTGGCATCAACGCTTCGAAGGGGATGGTGGACACCAAGGGAGTTGCCATGAAGGGGCCACCACAGATGCGAATGCAAATGCAGACATCACACACACAGACACTTTCAGTTCAGTTGTACTGTTTGCCACATATTTTGGTTTAACCAGTTTCAAGGGCGTTCGTCAAGTGGTCGGGCGAAGAGATACGACCAGCCATTGCCCACCAGTTATTTTCATGATCATTAAGGGATAGCGAATCGCTCCAGAGCCCCTATGCCCATCTACGCCCTGCAAATTGAGCGTGCAGTTTGGGGTGCTGGTCTAGGTGCTGATTGGGGGTGCTGTTTGAGGTGCTGATGGCAGTGCGGGCGCATCTTTTCAAAATTTACGGTAGGGTGCACGGGGGGGTGCTGTTTGGGGAGCTGTTTGATTTTCGCGAGATTGACGGTGGGTGCTTGCGGGGTGCTGTTTGGGGTGCTCTTCAGAGTGACGGTGCAGGCGCATTGTTGCGAGATTGACGTACAGGGTGCAAGGGGGCATCAGCTGCAGGTACCGTTTTGGGATGCTGTTTGGGGTGCTCTTGGAGGTGCTAGTGATTTCGTGGGCGCTCGATTCACGGCCGGGTGCTATGTGAGTCAACAGACAAGAGCTCAATGCCCAACGCCAGGCGTTGCTGGAGGCCACGGAGATTTGGGCCTTCCCCGCGGAGGTCAGCGCTGTCATCAGCCTGAGCTCCCAGAGCCCAATGGCAGCTTGGACTTGACCGGGGTGGGGGTTTTCGAGCCATTTCCCTGTGAAGGGGACCTGCTCCTGTTCCTCTGAATTTCTTTCTTTTGATGACAGGTTGTCCTGCCTGCCTGCCTGCCTGCCTGCCTCGGAACCCCGCATTCTGCAGCTGTGGAAGGGCCAACACGGGGCGGTGACTCACCTGCGCATGAGCCCGGCCTGTCAGACTGCACAACAGGGTAAAGTCTGAAAAGTGTTGCAACTGGGGCGAGCGAGCAAGACAAGTTCCAGCCTCCTGATTGACCCTCTTCATGAGCCATAATCGATTTGGGCCTGAGTCCCGTGGTCATCACGGCGTCTAACCTACTCGCACAGTGTTTTTGAGGGAAGCTTTCTCAACCCAGATGGTTTGGCATATGATGTTCGATGATTCCCCTCTATGCCAAGTTTTCAGTCCATAGGACCTTAGGAGAACATGCACCTAGCATGCACCGAGCCAATGCGGGCCCCGTTCAAACTCCATAAACATTTTCTATGTATGTCATACCCATACCCTTCAAGGGACCATCAAGCTCCATGTCGATTTGTGGAGCTTCTTGAGTCGACATGTGTATGTCCGTTTCGGGTTGAACGGCTGTCACAGCCCGCAAGCAAGCATCTCCTCCGACCCGTCAAACTACTGGAGAGGTAGGAGGAACAAGAAGGGACACAAGATCCCACCCTCCTGGCTCCTGAAAGGCATGGGTCTCAGAACAAGGCGCCCTAAAACCCTGCAAGCTGGCTGGAGAGAGCGCACGCAAATATTTTCATCGGTTCCACCTACAAACAAACCCCAAGAAGTCCTTGAACAAAAAGGCATACGTTTTTGTTTTTTCCCCTACCACCGCTTCGGTTTAAGGTGAAACTGGCCAAGACGGCGGGCCTTGCCACCTTCGTGGTGGAGCAGGAGCTGCAGGCTCGCCGCGCTGGGAAACACAAGGAGCCCCCGCCCCCCCCCCCCGTTTTTATCGCTAGATGACCACGCGAAACAATCCATTAAAGAAACACGTAAGCTTCTTCGGGGCCCCGCTGAGAGAGAGAGAGAGAGAGTATGAGAGAGTGTGTTTTTTGGGAGGTTGACCAGACTAGAGTGCATGCGAAGGTGTACAAATTGCATATTGTAATTTGATGTAATTTGTCTGTGCGTGTGCAAGTGTAGAAAACTCTTTGAACGATTCATTCATTTGCTCAGTGGGAAATTGCCATCAAAGTTCGCTTGACAGTGGCTCAAACTCCAAGTGAACAGCAAAAGGTCCAACCGCGCTCTCACACGCGCACACACACACAGGAGCTCCAGTGTTTTTTTCAATCGTGGTGCTTGCTTCGGTTGGGGTTGCTGCAGTTTAGGGTTTGGGGGTTCTTTGTTCAAGACGCAAGCTTGGGATTGTTAGATCTTGGTTTAGGGTTGGCTTCGGGGTGCTAGGCCTTGGTGTTGAGAACAGGCTTCGGTTCTGATTTTAGGCATTGAAGGTGTGAGATTTTCGAGTTCGAAGCACGACTCCACGCACCTGGTTCAGGGCAAAGGGTAAGCTTATTGCCCATCCATGTGCCTTGTTTTCCATAGCGGCGGCTGTCTATCCCTTGCTTTCCTTGGGCCGCTGCGACCCCACCTCTTGCACCTAGCTTCCAGCTTCCCCACCTGGCAGCCTGGCCAGCGCCAGGTTGGGGGCAACGCCTTCGCCCCACCGCCGCGACAGTCAGCCACGGACGTGGAGCAGCTGCTGGAAAAATGCCTCGAGCAGCACCGGGCGGATCTGCTGGTGGTCATGGACGACTTCAGCTTGGAGCTTGGGCCAAAAACCTCAATCCGTTTTGGAGTGTTAGCAGAAATGGGACGATGACCTTTGGGGCAGCTATCTTGGCATTGTGGGAAGTGAGTGGCTTTGGAGGGGACGGTTGTTTATGAAATGCCTGCTTTCAATTGCTGAAGAATGAATGGGAATTTCTCTTACGCCCAATCGAGACCCAGCCAGAAAGAAACTGGAGGGAGTGGAAGGGCCCTGTTGATGGCCAGTTTCGGAGGGTGGGGGCAAAGGAAGAAAGGCCCCGCACCCCATGGTCAAACACAAGGAAGCGGGTAGAAAGGGGTCGAACAAAGGGGGCTTGCAAGGCAAGGGCTTTGAAACGGCCTATGGGCGGGGGAGACATGCTTGGTTTGCCTGATGCCCTGGCAGGGGTTGCAAAAGTACAGCGCTTGAGCGGATTGTTCAGCAAGAGACCCCCAGGCTGTAGGAAGTGCAGGTATGGGCAAGGGAAGGCTCGGCAGATGGAGAGGGGAGACACATGTGACCGCAGAAAAGAGGAGAAAGAAAAGACCACGAGAGAGAGAGAGAGAGAGAGAGAAAGAGAGAGCTCAGCGAGAGAATGAGAGAGAGAGAGAGAGAGAGAGCGAGAGGAACGTGCTTCGAACAGTCTTTGGTTCTTGTGAGCTGCACCCGGTGCTTTTGAGAAGCTATGCGAGGCTTGGCTAAAGCCTGCAATTGTTGCTCAAGCGAGGTTGCAGAGTGGGACACGTACAGGACTTGAGCCAATACTCAAACCGATATTCAGCCGATACCTAATCGATACTAAGCCAAGTGTTTAATGCCTACCAAATGCAACCAACTGCCCAGTACACATCATGTCTTTGTTTTGCTATCTCTGCACCCACTCCTCGAGTTCCTCTTCTTGATGACCCACCTGCTTTGGAAACCGCCGCTGCCTTTTGCCTGCTTGTCCTATGAGTGTTATGTTGCCTCGGCTTAGGGCACACTGAACTACTCGCAGCTCCAAAAACTTTTAAATCGATACAGAGGAAACAAAGTCGATACTGACCCATACCGGGGCATAAGGTTACAAAGGTTGCAATGGTCCAACCGCAGTTTTTTTTTAAAAAAATTTCAGCCCAGTACCCGCATCAGGGCTGTTTCAAGGAAAGAAACACCACCCGTGGGGCTCCCGTGTCAGAGACAACCCAATCTGCGCTTCACGCATGGGCCAAGGAGCTGCTGCCTGCCAGCTTGCGGCAGCGCTGGGCGGGCAAGCTGATCGATGTGCGCGCCTCCTTGTTGCCGCGCAACGGCGCTGATCCCTTGCAGTCGGTGCTGGATGCGGGCATGTGCGTGACGGGGTGCACCGTTTATATGCAGACGGAGGACGATCGGACGAATCGCGAGAACGCAAACAGATACGGCGCCGAACAGCCTCGATTGGTAATCCCCCGCCTATCTCCCGCAGAGGGTCCTAAAGTCCAACGGACCCGGAATTGCCTCTCTCAGCACTCTTACTCCCCTCGATCTATTTTAGGCTTAGTGGACAAAATGTAACGAAGTGAAAGCAAGCGCACGGCCGTATTTGGCTATATAAGTGAAGCTCGTGTGTTCACGTGGCATCACAAGCGAGTAGAAGTACAAGTGTATATACTGAGCTGTATGAACAACCACATCACACCCGCACATGAAATGCTCATGAGAGGACATTGTCTTGAAGCAACAACGCATCACAACAAGTAACAGACACACAAGCACACCACACACACGCGCACAACAAGGTTGAAGATCCAGAAAACAGGTTTTGGAGGCGGCCCTCTTATGAATCCAGTCGTCTCCGGGCTCTGGTCCTCCCCTTGTCTAGCCAAAAGGGCAGAAATGAAGGAAAGCACATTTCTCAGCGCCAAGATTAATTGGCGGGGATTCTACATGATTGTCAGGGGGGGGTGACCTGGACTTGAATGGGGGCTTTATGAGCTTGTCAAACCTTGGCTTTTCTCTACACAACATGTATATGTTCAACAAGATGGAGACATGTACCGTTTCCGTCTAGCTGTTGTTTTCGGTTTCGGCAAAAGCACCCTCTACGACTATAAAGGGAATTAGTGTTGGCAGAAGTATTGGCAACAGTTTTTGTAATGTATAATTGTGTTTTTGACATGTTTAGAGTTTGGGGAGGCAGGCGGCTGTCTTCAATCAGGGCGGTTCTGGCGCTTGTGGGCCCCTTTAAAGTGGAATGGGCTGGCCGCCCGAGGGAAAAGGACAGTCTTGAAGGAGCTGGGTCATTGACCAGGGGGTCAGCATCAACTATGCTTTTCGTTCAAAGCTGCCGCTTGCCACCCGGAACAAGCAGCCCAACAGCCGTAAGTAGTGTCGACCTTGGATGAATAAGCCTGCCCGATTTATTAGGGGGGGATTTCCCTCAAAACTTGAAGGAGCTGGGTCATTGACCAGGGGGTCAGCATCAACGATGCTTTTCGTTCAAAGCTGCCGCTTGCCACCCGGAACAAGCAGCCCAACAGCCGTAAGTAGTGTCGACCTTGGATGAATAAGCCTGCCCGATTTATTTGAGGGGGATTTCCCTCAAAAGTATCCAGAAGTAGTCTGGATTCCTTTAAAAAAAGGAGCACCCTCAACTCCGATTCAAAATCCACCAGGTTGTTTCATGGTTCGTGAATGCTTGGTGAACTGGGTTCTCAATCTGTCCTGGCCTTTTTGCCGGGGAGGAGGGCGAGGAGATCATGCTGCAGGAGACGGCGAGGGTCATGGACACCGACACGGTGGACAGTTTGCACGAGCGCATCGTGGAGGACGCCGAGTCCAAGGCCCTGCCGGAGGCGGTGCGGCTGGTGGCCTCCGGCAAGTGGAAGAGTCGGAGGCGAGAAGAGTCGAACATCCGAAGACCGGACGGAACGACCACTTTTTAAGCCGAAAACCGGACAGAACGAGTGAACGACCACTTTTTTAGAAGCACTGAGGAATCTCATGATCGAACACAAAAGAGTCGTCTACTTTGGGGTGTGTTTAGTGTCCTGTTTGGAGATGGACAGAGATGGACGTTGGATGTGCATGCGCAGTTGCAAGGCCAATTTGAGGGAAGTTCACAGGCCTTCAGCCCACTCCCACGCAACTGGCGCTTTGCGATGTGGCTTCCAGGTTGGCACCAGCAGCAACGGCGGCGGCAGCAGCAGCAACGCTTGCCTCGTCCGTCCCGTCATCTGCCAAGATGGACGGAGATGCCAAGCGATACGAGCAGCGCGGAGTGTCGGCAGACAAGGGTGACGTGCACGCAGCCATCAAGAATATGGACAAAGGCTTGTTCCCCCAGGCATTTTGCAAGGCAGGGGAAGGTCAAAGTCTGACACTCTAAATTGCAGCACCTCCGTGCAAATAATTATACGGCTTGACGCGCATGTGCCAGGTTGTCCCAGATTTCATCTCTCGCGACCCAACGCAAGCCATCGTCATGCATGCAGACGGTGCTGGGACCAAATCCTCCTTGGCCTACATGTACTGGAAGAAGACTGGGGACATCTCAGTTTGGCGCGGCATTGCGCAGGATGCGCTTGTGATGAACCTGGATGATCTGCTTTGCGTGGGCATCACTGACAACATTTTACTGTCCAGCACCATTGGCCGCAACAAGAACCTCATCCCGCGCGAGGTCATCGGCGCTGTGATCGCTGGCACGGCCTCGCCGCATCGCTGGACTTGGCAGGTCCTTTCCGTTTAGTGCTTTGCATACTATTGAGACGATGAATGAGCCAAACACCTGACGGAGAATAAGTCCAAACAACCACTGAATCATAGAACCATAGACCTACCCTTGGGCTTTTGGGCTTTTCAGCCACCAGCTAAGACCAGCTATGTTTCAGGCCATTGGGAAACCAATGACTGCACCTTTAGCCAGCCACATGCCATTCGCCGATTCAGCTTCAGGCTAGTGGACGAGCTGAACCGCCACGGGGTGGGGATCATCCTGACGGGCGGGGAGACGGCGGACGTGGGGGACTTGGTGCGGACCATCATCGTGGACTCCACGGTCGCAGCGCAGATCCCACGGAGAGAGGCGAAAAACCAAAAACCGGAGAGGGGCAAAAACGGGCGACGCGGGAATCCCTTGCCCTGTGTGGTCTGCTTTCTTTAAAGATATGGTTCCCTTTTGTTTGTGCTTTTGTGTGGATTGATTGATTGCATCAACCTGCTTCCATCAACACACTCGGATCTTGATGATTCTTTTCAGGTGGGGCCATGGCCGGCAAAGGAAAACCAGCCAAAGACCACGGATGTGCCTTCAAGTGTCTCATGCCGGAGAGGGTCTTGTCACTTGTGCGCTTTGGGGACAAACCCTGCATTTTGTGGGGGTCCCTTTCACACATCGATTCCCAGGTTAAGATCCGGCTGATAGTGAGGATCACAGATGAAACAATATATAGCTTCTAGGCCGCTTGGGCAGGTGCAAGTGTGTCCATCAAAACAGGCCGAAAACCGTTTATCACTACCAAAAAACAGTGCCAATGCTTTCCAGAAGGATAGGCAACGGGGTAAACGCCAGGTCATCGACAACGGCAACATCCGCGCCGGGGATGTGATCGTGGCTTTGTCCTCCTCCGGGCGGGCGACCTACGAGGACTCCTACAACAGCGGCATCGGCAGCAATGGGCTCACCGCGGCGCGACACGACACCTTCAAGAATTCCTTGGCGAAGGACCGGAGTTTTGAGAAAGTGGGTGTCGTCAAAAGACATGCCCTCTGATTGACGAACAGGAAGTATCTTATTTAATTTGCAGAACATCGAGGCACATGGGCACCAGACCGAAAACAGGATGAAGGCTGCTCACAGACAGCAAACCGCGAATCATACACTCTCCCGAAAACATCCGGCCATTTCCAGTTTTCCTCAAGAAGCAGCACGACAGGAATTCCCCGAGTCCTTTGACCCCATGATGGCGAAGGAGCTGGTGTATAGCGGCCAAGCGCCCCGGCGACTGTGCAATCCCCCCCACCCCCATTTGTCAGTCTTTGTTTGTTCAAAGGTCCGGATATCCTGTCCTGGGCAGGCTATTGAGAGGCTGGGGGAAGGTGGTCCCACTTGGGGTTACCTTCGCAGAAGCAATGCATGTGCGGGTGTGGGTGTGGGTGTGGGTGTGGGTGTGAGATCGATGATTTCTTGAGCAGTCGTACTAGTAAAGCTGATGAGGGACCGCACTGCCCATTTGACAAAAGCACGTATCCAAATATATGTTCATGAAGACATCCACAGAGGCCAATGAAATCAGCCCAGAAACTCCGATATTGGCATGATGTCTTTTTTCAGGGCCCCCCCAAACAAAAAGAAGGAAAGATAATTATTGGTTTTCCGCTTGGTTCCCCTTTGAACCCATCATATCTCTTGGGGTTTTCTCCCAACCCGGGCTATGGCCATGTTTCAGGTGGGCCTGGAGGATCCCATCGACATCCCAGGCTACGGGACCATCCCGGCGGGGAAGCTGCTGCTTTCCCCCACCAGGACCCAAGGGATGTTTGGACTTCAACTTTTTGCTCAAGAAAATGTGTTTTTCCGCCTGAAACCGCTCAAAGTTATTCACTTTTGGCAGGGGAGCAGATTTCGCAAGCGAGGACCTATGGCCCCGTCGTCCAGAAGATCTTTGCGGCCGGCCTGCGGTCACAGATCCACGGCATGGTGCACTGCTCAGGTGGCGCGCAGACAAAGGCAGGAGTTCAATCCAAAGCTGGGGGCTGGTGTTCATTCTTCGAAGGCTTGATTCCCCATTCTCTTCACCCATCGTTCTCTTTGGAAACCACCCATTTTCCATGTTTTTTCCCATTCTTTGAAGAGACTGATGCCTGAAGAGAGTGGGGCGGGTACTGCTAGAATTCTGAAAGCCAGGTCTCAGTGCCGATTCATGCCATTTGCCTTTTGCAGCTCGCGAGACGTGTTCCTCGCACGTGTGCTCTTTTTGCTTAAGTCTTTAGATTCTCCATGTTTCTGCATGCAGCCGTGGTGATTTGCAATCAAAGCCTCAAGAATCTCAACTGGAGGGCACTTCTGAGCCAAGTCTAGCTGCATGTTTTGTCGACAGAAGTTGCTCCCATACTTTAGATGCAATCGTTTGTATTCTGTGAAGCCACCCGGTGCGCGGCAGGTGCTGCATTTTGTGGACGGAGTTCACATCATCAAGGACAATCTGATGGAGACTGCCCCTGTCTTCAGACTGATCCAGAAGAATTCGGGCACGCCGTGGGAGGAGATGTACAAGGTCTTCAACATGGGCCACAGGTACCTCACCTGCACACAATGCATGCATGTTCTATTTGGTTCTGTCGTTTCAAGTTTAGGAGACGTAGTTGGCTGTAACGTGTTCTTCGTTGGACGCTCGAAATCGTTCGAAATAAGTTGCATTCAACTGCAGGTTAGAAGTGTACACCAACCCGGAGGCAGCTGCAAAGATCAGCGACATCTCCAAGTCTTTCGGCATTGAGTCCCAGATCATCGGCAGAGTAGAGGCGATGGAGCCAGGTCACAAGAAGGCGCGAGAGCCCTCGCCGACTACTTGAAACGACAGAAAGCGGCTACTTTTGAAGCCACGGTTGGAAGCTGAACTTGACGATGCATTGAAAGACAGCTTGACGAAAACCGCGATGCACGATGTTTATGTTTGGATGTTTCTTTCCCGGAACCCGGGCCTTGGGAGGTAGGAAGCAAGAGGAGAGCACATCTGGTCAATGGGAGACCTGAGCATCATGCAGGATATTGTCCTTGGGAATCACCACCTGTGACACCAGGTGCAAAGGGTTTAAGCATTTTGGATTGGCCATCAAAACCAGCCAACAGCACCAACAAAGGCCCAACTCCTTGTTTCAAGACATTGATGGCCGGAGCCACAGATGTCATGTGTGCAGCGACCAACTGGAGGGAGAGATCGTGGCAAACGCAAAGACTGACTGCGTCTAGCATCTGAATTAGCAGCATGTTCAGCACTGCCACGATCAGGTGACCATCAAGTCAGAGCACGGGGTCTTCCAGTACGGCTCCTGAGTTTGTGCATATTCGGGGGTTTGGTTTATTTCAAATGACGGCTGTTTGAATAGCTGCTGCTCTTGTTTCGATGCTGTCAGCGGTGGGTGCCCAGTGCACAATGGATGAGACAACTCTGTTGTGGAGCAAAGGGGAGCTGGCAACAGGCTGGCAAATTGGCTCAGCACCCAGCGCTGTCAGCAATTGATTGAAAGGCTGTCTGAGCAACTTGTGTCTGACAGTAGCGTTTCCATGCTTGCGATTCCCTTGTTACGTCAGCAGAACAAGACCAATATTGCGAGCCACTGCTGGCTGAACGGGACTCGCAAGCCCGCAAGCGTCATGGAGTGACGCTCCCGCACCTTTCCGTCGTGGTTAACCGGCGGAGTGTACAGTGGTTTCACTTACGCTGGAGGCATCATATCGCTACAGTGGTTGCACGTGCATGCGTTTGCCAGAATTCCGAGATGAGATGACGCCCTCCAGGCATGAGACCGTTAGCATTTTGGATTTAGACTTGCCGAGAGCGGTCGGTCTTTAGAACCTCAGCCCAGCTGAGATGGTGATCCCTTGAGGTGTTCATGGGCGGCAAAGAACTTCAAGCACGAAAGGGCTAGCCTTGTGAAAAACACCTCAAGACGGAATCTCGTGTGATGGCAGCTTGCTCTAGAGGAGCCTTTACAATGCCTGTGAAAAGTGGGAAACATGTATGGAATCAACAGCTTTTGACAAATCCTTCGTTCATCCCTAGAGTGTGCTGCCCTGCAGTACATTCGGGGTATTGCAAGTTTGACCTGCCACCACACCTAGAATTTTGAACGGATACAAGCTTCGAAAGCGCGCGCCAAAAGCATGTCGGCAGTCATGGTTGGCCGTGCATGCGGAAAGCATTTGGGCTTGAACATCAGTAAGGAGACTCTGGCGTCTCAACGCGTGTCTCCATTCATCGGGAGGCCAAGAGGTAGCGTCACAATCCAGCTGCGTTGTTCTCAGCGGCAATCAGGTTGCCCAATGCTTCCTCAAATTAAATACGGCAAACTTACGTGTTAAGAAGAATTCGACCTTTATTTTCTCAGTCTAGGATTCCAGGTTTCTGATTGCAGGCTGGTGAGGTGGTGAGCGAGCAGAGATTCCATGCATTGCCGCCTGGCAAGAGCCAGCCCTGATTCCCTTCAGGGTTCAGGGTCGGCTATCTCCCCATCTTTGGGTCGAACACCGAGGGTGAGATTCTTCACACCATATATTCCCGTTTTTGTGTTGCTTAGGAAGATATATATATATAAAGGAAAAAAGGTTTTGATCTTAAGAGAAATGCAAAAACAACAAACCACAAGGGCAAGTTTTCCTAAGGGTGACCTTCGCTTACCAGGACATGGAGGAGGCCGGGGACTGCATCGGGGATTTGGAGCGGAGCTATGGGAAGCTGCTGGGCCGGTTGGCGAAGAAGCCCCGCTACCGCACCGCGGCAAAGCGGGAAGTCGGGGCACAGAGCCGAAGCCAGAGGGATGACGGGAAAGGCAAACAAAAATCGTATGAGTTGGGTGGGGTGGGATCTTTTGATCGAAGCCTGCGCCACAGCTTGAGGCTGTAAAAGGTGTTTGCTGAAGCCTAGTGCAATAAGCTGCAACCCCTGGAGGCAGTCCACGTTTGGATGTTTGATTTAACAATTATTAGGGGTCATACGTTGGGGTCGGAGGTTCCGAGTGCAATTCCCATTTTGTTAGCAACTCTTTGATTGGCACTTGGCAAGGATGCTGCCACGAGGTGCACTTGCTCAGCCCCACGGTTCTCACGAAACATTTGTCCAGAGCCTGTTCATCTCAGCAAGACAGTGAGTGGGATTGCAGTGTGGCATGGATTAGTCGAGCTTGGTGCGTCCCAAGGTTTTCAGCCAAGACCTAACAACATGGGCAACTTCGTGGCAGTTGTTTGCCTGGACGCACCTCGGCCTTTTCTTGCCTGCGTTCTGGCCGGCAAGAAGCGTCAGCATAAAGCTTATGATGTAAAACAGCCAGGGCGCAGCCCCAAGCAAACAGGACGCCAATTTATTCGTAGTGATGGGTCTTCAGGGTAAATTCAGAGTCGTATTTGTATGCAAGTAATGTCCGGCAGAGCCGGAAGTTTCAACAGACGGAAGATCAATAGTTCGCAGCGTGTTTTCGGTCCCCCCCTTTTTTTGTTTCCTTATCTATCAATGTTTGTGTTTTCTCACTTTCTCTCTTTTTTTGTTCTTTCTCCCTGTCTCTGCCTTATTGTTGTTTGTCTTTCTTTCTTTTTTTATCTCTGTTCTTTGCATGCTGCCTGTTTCTCCTCTCAACATGCCATCAATTGCGCGGCGCCTTGAAGTATTTGATGAGCACGTGGCCGGCTAGGGGAGGCCTACAGAGCTTCCAAGTCTAAGCGCTGATGGATTTGCTCCGGAGCGTGGCAACAAGTGATCATTGTGAACCGCGCTTTGCACATTCAGTCTGTTTGTCTCCCTCTCTCTGTCTTCTTGTCTCTCTTTTTCTTTCGTTCTGTCTTTCTTTCTTTCCTTCTTTCTTTCTCTTTTTCTCTCTCTCTCTCTGCCTCCAGCCCACGAAAGTGAACAACGTGAAAAGTCGGCCAACCGAAAGTCCGCTGAGGGTCAGCAAAGTGAAAATCGGGAGACAAAAAGAAGGACCGGGAAAAAACAAGCGGAAGACAAAAAAACAAACGGAAGACAAAAAAACAAACAACAAAAACGAGTTTTGAGGCGTCAACCCCACGAAAGTCCGCTGAGGCCACACCATGTCATGGCTGCGAAACGGTGCGCGCGGCCGTGCCGATGGTTGCATCTTCAAACCCGTGCCAAGAGAGCTCCGAGCCCGTTCCGGGTCTGTACAGGCTATGCGAGCGAGGTGGCGTGTGCACACGCGGAATAGCCGAACTCACGCACAGGGCCACGTTTTCGGCCATAGTATTCCCCAGTTCTCGCTCTGTCCATCTTGTTCGTAGCTTTTTTCAGGCCTTCCAAACTTCCTTTGTTTAGAGCACAAGAAATCCTATATTTGAGCTTCTTGCTCATTATTTGTCATATGTTGGAAACACCCAAGCCCTGCAGAAAGGAGATCATGAAACCAAGGAGGGGTCCCATACTAAAGGGATATTCAGGATACATAATTCCAATGTTCTTGGAGCCATTGCTGAAAGTTTAAGCGAAGTTGTGCCTTTGCATGCACAAATCAGCGTGCTGAACTTTCGAGTATGGATTTGGAACCCAGACGTTGATTGCAGCATGCTCTCCGCAGATATGAATCCATTGGCGAGACAGTGCTCGCAGCGCAGGGCCAAATAATCTAAACATATGCCGAAAGGGTGATGTCACTCCGGTGTCATTTCCGCTCTTGATGGTTTTGTGGTTGTGTTTTTGTGAGTTCTCAAAAGGTGTGCTCCCTCGGTTTTGCAAACTCGGAGCGCCCTCTCAAAGCGCGGGTCGCCTACGTTAGGCATTGCATCCACCCATGGAGTTCGTGGGTGACTCGTACAAGATGAAGCAGGTTGCCAAGCACTCGGCGGCTCTGCAGGCTTTGAACTACTTAGATGCTTGGCCCCAGGTTGGCGGGCCTTTGTTGATGTAGCAACGTGTTGGGTTGACGGGGGGTTTCCCCAAACTTTTATGCTGCCCCGCGCATGCCGATCCTCAGCGTGTTCGTGGCTGTTGAGCGGGGGGGGGGGAGGGAACCGGGGGGGGGGGGATGGAAAGAACACGGGTCCATGTCTCCAGCATGTCGAGGCCAACCTTTGTTTCAAACTAGTTGATCCCAACCCCCCAGCCCCACACGCCATGTGACTTCTCCGCTATCTGCGCGCTCTACACGACTGCGAAGTCCGTTTAGCTTATCTGACACGCTGCCACTTGTCCGCAGGTGGTTTTAGACACCTGGTGTCTAAGAGGGCTTGGGGTCTTCTTGCGTTTGAAGGAGCTACGTTCCCGAATCTGGTCTTTGTCTCCGCTGCGCTCTCAGTACCGAGCAGGAGAAGTTCTGCCATGACTTGTCTGCTTCGCATATGCAAGGCAGCCCGGCCTGGACAGCTGCATGAAAGTGTTGGTGGCATTCTGAAAGTCTATCACTAAGAGGATCAAACCACAGTCCTGGAGCCTGCTGCGAGCAAATGAGAATGCTTGCCAGCACCGCGTATTCGAATTCAGATTCGAATACGAGAAGTTGGACATCTGCAGACTATCTGCAGACTTTCCTGTGGTCCCACCGAAGCCACGATTCACTGCTATTCGCATAAGCGAGACCCGGACAAACCCCCGCCGGCAACCCAACGTGTTGCTTCTACGCACAACTGACCGGGCGTTCACTGACTTAGGTCCCCCCTCTTGCTCCCCTCTCCAGAGTGTACCCACCAGTGACGCAGTGGGAACGGCACCAGAACATGTGGATGTGGTCAGGCACTCTAGGGGCGGTGAAAGCTGCAGCATGGAGCAGCAAATGGTGCACACCATGAGCATGCAGCTATTTCCCGCCAGACTGTCCCGCAAGAAGAGCGTCAGCAAGGAGTCGCGATACGGCGCATGCCGCATGCCGCGCAGTCTCTCGAAAGTCGTGGCGGTTCGTGTTGTGCTTGGGCCAGATACCTTCATGAATTATGCACGAACAGCGGCTTCTCCAGATTTGGGTTGCTGCGTAAGGCATCCCATGAGAGGCCTTTAGGGCAAACCTGAGACATGTGTCAAGCATTTATATCACGAAAGGCCGCGTAGCTAGCTGAGTTCCCTTGCTTTCGCAAGTCTATGGTATGTTCTCTCCGCCTTGTGGGCGCGAAAGCCTCCAGTGCCCCACAGTTGCTGCCGGCAGCAACCTGAGCCAAACGGACGGAACTCCTAGCACCATCTCGACTTTCCAAAAGCCTCAATACCTGTTCCGGGCAAATGCGCCGGATGCAGCGCTGACGGTGGCTACCTTTCGTTCATGGGTTCTTTGTGCGTCAGCTTCTTTACTGGTGAAGGTGAAAGAGATGTGGTGAGGCAAAATAGAAATCGAGTTGCTTGGCACTGATTTTGCAGGGCATCCGGTCTTGAGCTGAGGAACTGCAGGGTCCGGAGTCCATTTGCATTGCAGAGACAAGGTCCGGCTCAGCCACTTGGCAAACTCGGGCAGCCTTGATTAGTATCTATGAAAGACCACTAGGGTCTTGACCTTGGAATAGCTCTAAATGAGTGTTGGATAGTTGCTCGGGGTCCTTGTCATGTTGGTTCCTCACGGGCGATCAACAAAATCAGCCTCATCCAGCATCCTTTTTCGTCACTGCCGCTTGGCAGCCTCGCAACATGTCGTACGAGGCTCCTTTTGAAGGGGCGTGCACTATGTGCTTATTTATTGTGCATTCATTGTGTTGGTCTATTGTTATTTGTGTGTTTTGTGTAGTTTATGTGTTTGTTGTTAGTTATGCACGTGTGGTTCTTATTCATGTATGCACATTACTTGTTTAAAATTGGTTAGTTAGTTAGTTAGTTAGTTAGTTAGGTAGTTATTCATTTACTAATGGTTGTCATAACGATTTACTTGTTTTTGCTTAGTTCCTTTATTTGTTTATTGACTCATTGCATGTGTTTGTGCTGTTATTGCATTTATACATTTATTTTGACTCGGCAATGCCAAAACTTACAGAACAGGCCGAACCGCTCTGTCGGCGTGCTTCGGCCCACGGAGGAGAGAGGTGAAGTGCGACGGAGCTGGATGTACGTGGAGCTCTTGGGAGAAGGTCGGCAGAAAGCTGTGGGAAAAGATGAGTCAATGAGGTAACTGTGTCTTTGTTTAGGGCTGGTTAGCCAAGATTCATGTAATGTTTGATTGTGCCACTGGTGGTTCTTGACTTGACCAAGCAAGCTCACCCATCCAGCTGGTTTGTTGCTTGAGCATCCCTTGCATGATACTGTGTGTTGTGGAATGACTGGCTTAGTTGAATCTGTGGTTGTAATGGGGGTGGGGTGGGCCACATGTTAGAACCTATTCAGCGCTCAGACATTTTTACCTTCAGCGCCTTCTTTGCATATGAAGGCTTGATTCAATGCTGCAGGCTTGTTTCAATGCTGCAACGCTGGTTGGAAGAGTGATGCTGACAAGCGTTGTGTCAGCAGCACTAAAACTGGTCGGCAAGTCGCGTTTGTTTAGAAAGGTGAAATCATTGATGCCTCGGACACTCTTAGTGTCTTAGTGCTCGAAGCGCCTACATTGCTCTTTGTAGCAGCTTGTCCTAGTGGGCACCCCCGATCAATCAGCCCCCTGGCTGAAGTGCACCAGCAGGGAAGGATTTGATACTGAAGGCCCTTCATGTCTGTGGCTTGCCCGCCCCAAGATGTTCAAGGGGTCAACCCGGAGATACAGTTCGCAGCTAATTGGTTGCACCCAGACTTCCCTGCCTTCCCTACCAGGCTCCGACGAGACACCACCAGTGGACCGCGAGCCCACCTCCTTGCCAGCGGACTGGGGCAGGGCTGAACTGGATGATAAATCTGGCATGCCCTTTGTAATGCGGGCTTATCACTTTGGTGCGCCTCTTGGGCTAGCTAGGTTCATTGATTTGTGGCGGCAAATGTTCAATCCGGTACAGTGGCCTTGGGGGTAAGAGGCAAGAGCTGCAGCGTTCTGCAATTCTTGACTCACGCCCGCAGCCGTTTCTGTCGTGGGATTTGGCTTTTGAATTTGGTGAGGAGCCGGAGATCCGGAATCTGAGCAATGCCAAAGGCCGCTTGCTGGAGTTCCTGGTGAAGGTCGGGCGGGGGGAAGAGGGCCAGACAGGACCCCACAACCCTTGCCAGGACGACCCCGCCCTTAAAGGTCAGGAATAGCTCAGAATAATTATTCCTTATCAGCTTATATAGTACTCGTATATTCGGACTTAATTGCTTTATGGCTTACAATAATGGTCATATTGAGTCCGCAGGACTTGTCAAAAGATTTTCCTGGAGCCTACCACGTTGAGCCACTGAGCTGCTCTTTTCCATGTGCAGGAGGTTCGTCGAGCGCTTTATGAGGACGAAGCCAGGTGGGATTGCGACTATTCCATGGAGGAGCAACGCGGCAGCATTATTTTGATCGACTTTTGTTCGGGTCAGGAAAATGTATGGTCCCGTTCCTTCCTCCAGACAACTAAGAACCAGACGTCTTCCAAGATGTGAGACAGCAATAAGCCCTGTTTGCAGCAATCCATGACAAAGAATAGATTCCAGCTTGAACCACTAATCTCGTGTGTGTGTGTGTGTGTCTTTGTGTCTCTGTGTGTCTGTGTGTCTGTGTGTTTGTGTGTCTGTGTGTGTGTGTCTCTGTGTGTGTGTGTGTCTGTGTGTGTGCGTGTGTGCGTGTGTGCGTGTGTATGTGTGCGTGCATTTCAGAACCCATTTGCTAGAACCCATTTAGGGTCGCTCCACTGAGGGCGTTTGGACAGGATCTCAACTAGATCCTGCGAAAACTTCAAATGTTCCTTGGTTGAAGGGTATGCCCAGCTCTTGTCTTTGTTTTTTCTCGGGTCCTGTGCTTTGTTTTGCTATCTCATTTCATGATGCCCCTTCTTCCGATGCGACCCCATGCACACGCCCCACTCTGTTAGCGGCTCCGAGGGCCGGCTTCAAGGTGACTCTGCACCTCAATGTCAGTGGCTGGGCCGTGGGCACATTTCAAAGCAGCGCCCTTTGGCCCGCACGGCCGAAACCAGGGCCCCGCAATTGATGTGTCACGTTGTGTGAAGCGTTGGGTCTCCAGCTGAAAAGTTGGAAATGCGGCACGTGACGGGGCGCATGACGCGCCTCCGAGTCAGGGGTCCTTTGAGAGTCCATTTGCTGATCTGAGGCCTTTGTGCGCAAGAAGGAGGCCGAGCAGGACGCGGCCAAGACGGCGCTGCGGCATTTGCAAAAGACCAAGGCCCGGCGCCCCCAGGCCGGCCAAGACCCGGAGCTTGCGGAATTGTGTCTCAAAAGGTGCAAACTGAAGTGCGAAGAAGTGAGAGCAGAAGGGTATCTGAAGCCCTTTCGCTTCGCTCTGGGAAGGCTATTGCTCAGCGATGTGCTGTTGTTAGTTGGGAGTATGTTGTTCATGTTGGCCTCTCTCATGGTCAGGCCCCAAAAGAACGTGCACGTCACATAATTTAGAGGGAGTTGGGCGCCCTCCCTCAACGGCCTGGCGTTGAACAACGGAGCCTGGCAGTTCCGAGCGCCCAGTGGGTTCGGCTCATCCGGGAGTTGAGTTGCATATCCCAGGCTGGTGCAGGTTGAGTGCCCCGGCTTGCAGGCAAATTGTTGATTCAATTCGAGGGCTTCCAATCAGGTACCTTCCAATCCAAGCTGGAACAGTGGGTGAACAGGTGGGCTAAAAGGTACGCCATGACAGCAGTAGGCCAACCTGAGATGTTTCAGTCTGGCTCTTGTTTTGACCTTTCCCGAATGCTGGCACTACTCCAGTTTGGCGAAGTGCATATCAAGGCTCGCAACTTGTCGAGAAAGCACGGCTCGCTTGTGATGGTCGCATGTCAGAGAACAGCTGTCAGACTAGGATGACTTGGCCTTCCTGATTTGAACCCCACAAAGTGACTGTTGTCTTTGTTGATTGCATGTTTTGTCCCAGACAAGTGTGACTCTATCCTCCTGTTTCAAGATGCGTGACCAGTGTTGTCTTTCAGCAGCTTCATGTGTTTGGCCTTTAAACGGGATCCATCGCCTCGTTGAAACCCAAGCTGCCCAACCTCAAGTCCCAGATGCCACGTCCTTGCCGTCAGTCCTTGCCTGCCAACCTGCGCCTGCCCACGGACATCACAGTCAATACGTTGCTGGAGTCGCTCGGCCATAGGTGACCAGGGTTGGAGGTTGGAGGCCTCGGAGGCCTCGGAGGCCTCGGAGGCCTCGGCGGCCTTTTGGCAGCTTCGCCTGGATCTTTTTTTGCTTCTCGTTGCTGCGGCTTGCTGCTTGCGTTCGTGGATTCCAAAGTTCCCATTGCAACCATCTGCCTTGGCTTCATGACTAATGCTTCTAGTGAGCTGGATGCCAGCTATGGGCACACTATGCTGCATGGGGGCACGCACTTTGTGCTTGACTGAGCCCACTGGGGGAAGCAAAGGCAGGTGAGGCTTTGGGCATTGACCGGGCCCAACCAAGGCGTTACTTGCCAGAGGGCATCGATCAAGATGACTGTGACATAATATGTGCTGGAGCTGTGGTCGGTGGCGACGTGTGCTTGGGATCCTTGGCATGGCAAAGCCAGAAGCAACTTGAAGACATGATTTAGCAATGCTAGCCAGCCTTCAACATCCCATGCTGAAATGCACCGGGACCTGCACAGAGCGACGACGTGGTCGAATGAAACCTGTCGTGCGGCAAGACAATCGAAGCTGGAACCTGATTATTTCAGACTGACCCCAAACCATGAGATGCACAGCGCAGTTCAGTTAAGGGAAGTTTTGCACAACGAGGGGGGTAGTTTTGGAAGACTTCCCGACAACATCCCAGCTGAATAAGAATCTGCCCCCAGCCCCTCTCCTAGTCCCCACTTCATTTTGCCCTCGCTGATCTGTTTTGCAGTGGCCCTTGAGGAAGCCTGGGCACAAGCCCGGTACAGTTGGTGGTGCAGAAGCGGCAGGACGGCCGTGTCGCCAAAGTGCCGTGAAGACGCGGCGTTTGGTTCCATGTGAAGTGCGCCCGAGGCACCGGAACATTTTAAGACTTCTCTCGCTCAACTTGGAGCCTGACACCTGCCCAGAATACACAGCAACATCTTTTGGCGGATCTTGTTTGTTCTTGTCTATTCCAACCCTATTTCCTGAGAACCAGCGGCTCCCTTTTGAGAAATCCTCTGCGTGCTTAGAAGCTGCATTCTTTGCAGCTCTGACAATTCTCCAGGTGCTTTTGTTCAGATGGGCTGTCTTGCTGAGCAACGGTTCGCAACAAGAAACCGTGGCAGTCATGCGTCCTGCCGCATGAAACAATGTAGTTTGCAGTCACGGGCCTGCTGCAAGGAATGCGTGTCGTGGCAAGCACGTCATTACAAGCGCACCTTGTCGCCATTGCAGGAGTGGTGATGAGTGGGCGCAGGCAGGGAATTGTGTCTATCCTCAGCTTCAGAGATATGTGTTCCCATCAGATCATGCCGGGCATTTTAGGAGGCCAAGCAATGCTAGTTTCTCTCGGGGTGAACCAAGATGTTACTGGAGCTTTGGCTATGGTTTCCTTTTGGTGAGCTGAGTTTTGGCTTGGGTTGGTCAACTCAAGCCAGTGCAAGCCACGTAAACACGCACACACGCACATGGCAGGCTGAGCCACTCTTAGCTGCCGCTCCAGCCAGTTGCAAGACGCCCTCCACTTCTCAGGCTTGGATCATGCACCTCAAGCAAGCGCCCCTCTTCGGGGCGTATGTTTGGGATGCATTATCCAATCCTTAGAAGCAGTGCGGGTCCCCAAGACTGGGCGCCGGTTTGTGAGGCCGCGATGAAAAGAGCCTCACTTGCTTGCTGCCAGGTTGGGCCTTGGAATGCGTTCCTGGCTTGCTCAGTTCTATTGAGTCTTCAGAAATGCCCTATTCGCAAGGAAATCAACCTTGAATCACATTCACATCGACAGTTTCCTGGGTCAATCAGGCAATCAGGTATATGTTTGTTGGATACCCGGTTAATCCCAGGTGTCGTGCAAATCGGATGTACGGAGACATCCAAATACCATGTTTTGCTTCGGGTAGATCATGTGCCGCCGCTTTCTTAAGGCACACGCAGAAGGCCAACTTAGATGGCGAGACGCCCCTCCTGTGCGCGGTGCTGCGAGGCCGCAGCCCAGCTGCACTGGCCGTCAGACGCCTCGCATAGTTGTTTCTTAAATAAAAACCATGGGACATCAGAGGTTGCACCCTTCCAAAAACAAGGATGGAACCACGGATTGTTTTTGCCGACCTTTGAGAAAAAGGACCCTTTTTATAAAGCATTGCTGTTGGATGCTTTGTGGGGGGGGGCGCGGTGAAGTGGTGGCGTCGCTTTGCCAACATTTGCCAGCGTACTTTTGCCATTGCCGGTTGCTAGGTGTTCAGCAGAGTTCTGTGTGGATTTTGCTGAACCCAGAGCTCTCTTTAAAGATAGCCGTCGCTTCCACCTATTTGAGGCCGCGACATTGTGAAGGTGCTGCTTGGCCACGCGGGAGCCGCTTAGCTTTAAATGTGAGATTGAGACGCGGGACGCATCGGCGGTCTGCGCAGTGCGGTTTGGTTTCGCCTTGAACACCCACCCAGTTGTCCTGCAGGGCTCCATGAATTGGCGTTTCTTAGCAGATTGAGTCCACAGAGCTGCGGTGCCATTTTCGCGTGTTTTGTTCGACTGAAACTTGGGTATAGGCACCTATTCGCACTAGATAGTGTTGCGCAGAAAGACGCTCCAGAAGTTTGCACCCTGTCCTCTACATGCAGAGGACATGAAGTCAGAAAGTCCAAGATCATTTGCAGTGGCATACCGGTTGTTGTTTTGAACGATCCGACTTTTGCGCAAGTATCCCTCTTTTCCCAGACGTTTCACCTTCAAGGGCCACCCCTCCCATCTCGAAAGAACCGCTTCCGAAAGGGTGGGAGAGAATCAGAGCTGAGGCGCGGGTGGACACCCCCAACAACGACGGGGAGACGCCCTTGAACTTGGCAGCTGGCAAAGGCCGGGCTGAGGTCAAAAGCCACTTCTTCCAAGTCCCCCGCGGACTGTGCAGTTGGCCTGCTTCCCTTTCGGCTCAAAACCAAATTCCACAAAAACATAATTCCTGACAGAAAGGGCCACCAAACACGTGTTCACAGATGTTCCATACCTTCTTCAGGGTAGGGATGGTAGGGTGTTTGACCATGAGACGGTAATGAAGGAGGCATTGCAGAGTTTCAGCGCCTGCTTTCACGCTGAGCATGCCCTATGTTCTATTTGGTTGCCCTTCCATCCCTTTTTTATGAGCCCTTTTAATTCTAGATGTTGCTTGTTGGTTGCTGTTTGTGTTTATGTTTCCTATTTTTCGGCTAGGGCTTGTTGCAATCTGTTGTTCTTCAGCTTGAGTTTGCGTGTTTGAGCATCCAAACCGTAAACAACATTCTTGAATTCCCAGCCCATCGGTCATGATGCGGTGTGCCCTACTTCATTGCTGCACTCCTCTCAACTTCTTGTTGCCTGGGGTAGCTCGCTTATTTCCCAAGTGGGGTGCCAGACACCATGGTCATGACCAGGTGTTTTGGCTTTGATCTGCGACATGAGCTATTCCACCACGGCCTTTGAACGGTTCAAATAAATCGCCGGCCAGACTGGCCATACAGATGATGGAGACCCAAATACGCGGTCCTTTTGCACCGGGCAAAGGCAGTTTCAGGGTGCATGAAAAGACAACTGTTGGAGTGCCAGCACTTGTGCCCTGTGTGATGGCGTCATGGGCATGGCAAGCGCAGAGTCGGAGAGACGAAACCAATCAACATGGAATGCACCAGCTGGAAGGCGACGCGGAGATGGCGCAGATCCTGCTCGAAGAGGGCAAATCACAGTGGCTTGGAAGATGTGCCCGGTTGTGTTGCGAGGGCCGTTTGCGGCCAAAGTTCCCACTTGTGTTTATGTGCTGTAAAGTGAGGGTATGTGAGGGTCTGATTCTTCGTTGTCAAAAATTTGCTACACAGGCTTGACATGTTTAGTGCATCCGTGTTTTCGCCCGGCTTCAGGTGCCTCGACACGCCCGACCGGCTCGGCTGGACTCGGATGCAGCCGCAAGAGTTGTGTTAGGATGTGGGCGATGCAGGCACAAGCCGCTCTTCGTGAAGCAGAATAGCATGTCTCAACACACTGGCCCCGAAGAATCAACATTTGATTGCTAGTTTCGCCCTATATTCTTCCCTTGCGAGCCGACCTCCTTTCGAATTCTAAGATAAGAAACACAACCAAATATCTCAGGCTGCAGGTCAGGCTGGTTGCATCGCCTGAACCTTTGAGATGTTTGTGCTTGTCCATGAGTGACCGCCTGGGGTCTTTGCCAATGTGGAGTTTGGGCAATCCCAGGGTGGCGGGGAAGAGGGAGAGGGGCATGTTCCAGGAAGGATATTGTGGCCGGTGCTTTTGGGATACTCCTGGGCCTTATTACAGGAGCCATGGTCACTATATTTGATTGTTGTTTTTTCAATGGACATTTCTAAGGAACGTGTGCCTGCCAACCATTCTTCCGCAAATGTATTTGAGTCATCCATGATCAACGATCATGCCCAGTTATCCTCCACACATAAACGCACCGCACATTGAACTGTTCCGCCGCTTGCTCCTTTCCAGGACGCCCGTGCTGATCTCATCGCACGGCGGCCACGTTGGAGCAGGGAGCACAGAGAGGTGAAGTCAAGGGTGGAGTTTGTACCTGTAGCAAAGAGAAGTGGCCTGCATTTGAGACAGTATGTGTTGCTCAGGTGCTTAGACTGCTGCTGAGAAGCCCTTAGCTCAGAGGATGTGCGTTTGTGTCCGCTCATCCTGGCAATCCTCGTAACGCGGGAGAAAACCATCGACTTGCTGACGGCGGCGTGAGGAAGCACCGGCCAGGCAAAGCTCAGACGGTGGACACACCCAACAAAGCGGGGGAGACGCCGCTGCTATGCGCTGCAAAGCAGGGCCATGTAGAGGCCCGGTTTGCGAGCTTTGCCATGGAAGCTTTTGAATGGAATGTGGCTGATCCATGAAGGGCGCGGAAGGGATTCAAAAACTGTTTTCGCGTAAGGGCCTCAAAAAGTGTTTTCTTTGTGAATATCATCCAAAAGTAGCTCCTTGACACGAGTCAGACACTCAGCCCAATGCCGGGAACGTGGCCTGGATGCGCCTGTCGAGCCAGCATCTTCAGCATACACCAACCATCTCTAGGCTTGCTTTGCTTGTGTTGCCTATCAATGTTGTGTTAGACGTAGGATACATTTTACATTTTTCTGTGTCTCAGATTGAAGCAAACAAAAATACATTCTACAACTGGACCTAACTCTAATCATGAATTCATGATTTTCACTCGTAGTCATTGGCTTCGCATGGATGCTTCGCCTTGCAGGTCGCCAAGCTGCTGCTGACCTCCGGCCAGGTGCGGCGGGTCCTTGACAAAGGGCGAGGAAGTCACTCTTGGCACGCGGCGGATTGCGTCCAACAGTTCAACAGTGGCGGATTGAGTCGTTCCAAGAGTTTGTGGATGGATTCAACGTACAGATTGAGACACCGCGCCGTTTTTTTGACAGTCCGGGCAGACGGTGCCGCGCAGGCGCAGACCATAGACACCCCTGACCGAGATGGCCGAAGACTTGGCTTTTGATGTTTCGCACATCCAGCGGTCCCTCAAAAGAAGCTGCGGCTTGTTGCGATGCATGTCTGTCATGAGGCAACACGGCCTTGATGATGGCGGCCCATCACGGATTTGCTGAAGCTCTCCGGCCAAACCGGCGTCGGTTTCAATCCGGAGACCTGACTCTTGTGTCAGATGCGTGCATCGAAATTAGGCTGCGGAGAGTGCAGGCAGCTTTTGCATGGTTACACAGTATAAGGTTGCTTGTTATTATCTCCTATTCAACGGAGTGTTGTGTGTTGCTAGGCAACGTTTGGGTCAAGTGGGTCGTGGCAGGTTGCTGATCAGCAAAGGCGCCACTGTCGATCTTTGTAGCAAGGCGGGGCTGCCTAGTGAATTGACTTTTTCACCTGAAATGGTTTGCACAAGAGATCGGTTTGGGGCACACCCCGTCCTCCAATCACGAAATTCTACAGCTGAAGATTCCATGTTCTTGACTGAGCAGCAATTCCTCCGGCAAGGCTCAGGAGACAGCGCTGCTGCTTGCAGCACAGGAAGGATTCCTGGAGGCGTACATGGCTTGCAAATGGGAGCAAGCTCTTGCGGTGGGGTGCTGATGGTAAGGACGCGGGGCAGACTCGTTGGACATGGACACTGGTGCGAAGATATGGCCACCAGCAGTACAAAGTATGGCCAAGTTGTGCTACTGGCCCAGCGTAAGACCTCTAGGGCCTAAGTCGTTGGATGAGTTCACAGCCTGTTCTGATATGATTGGCTGGGCTTGAGCGACCTTTGAGCTTTTGCCGCCTCAGGGTACTTCACGGACTGACAATTGGGGATGATTGGGGTGGTTTGTCTCTTTTTTAGGTTGTCTTCCCCGTGAAGCCGCCAAGCATCCGACCTGCCAGGTGATCACAATCCTTCTGGAAGAGGGGCGCCTCATTTGCAAGCCAGCCGTTGTGCCGGACGAGCAATAGACGGCTTGACATATTTGACGAAAGTGGGTTAATAGTTAACTCGCTATCACGTGAGGCCTTTTGGACGATCAACTGGCTTGTCCCCAAATATTGACCAAGTCAGTGACCAAAGCTAACAGGACCTGCACCCTATTGTCATGCGGTTCGCACAAGGTCCACAGCTGTCAACATGGCAACTGCTGATGGCCGGCCACTCAGGAGGTGCCGTTTGCTCGTGTTTGTTGAAGGCGCGGGCTCAATGCAACCCTTTGGTCAAAAGGTCCCCTAGGGAGCAGGGCAAGGCGTTGGATTCTCGGCAATTGGGAGGCGCTTTGGCTCGACAGCTGCTCCTTGCGTTGCTGCGCACACACACACACAGAGATACATGATTGATTGCAGGCTTATCGGCGAAATTTATACACTTCTCTTGAAACAGTCTTCATTTGCTATGGCAAAAGGACGAGCAGGCTTTCAGCATCTCCCAACCACTATCAGTCACTCATTCCACATGCACATATCAAAGCATCAGAAACCATGCAATATCAGAAGCCTTACCCAGGGTCTCGCTTGAGGGGCCAGCCACCTAGAAACAAGGCTACTCTTCAAAAATCCTCTTGATATCTCCTGCCTCCTGACATCCCAGTCGGCAGCCAAGTTCCCCATCGCAACGGGCCGAGCGAGTGCTGTTTGCCATGCCGCTGCCTGGCAAGTTGCACAGCCTGCGCAGCCCGTTGAGTGCACAGACGGAGGATCTGCTCCAAGAGTCTTGGGAATGAAAGGGTTGCTAGGGTCCATGGAACCGTGGATCAACATGGATCAACAAATTCGGTGTGTATATATATGTATATCAATAGACCTCCAAGGGTTCACGAGAAGGGAGTTGCTAGTCACTGAAATGGATAGCGTGATTTGCAACATGTGTGGGGATATGATGGAGCATGTATTCTTGGGTTCTTTCACCGGCTGGCAAGGTGAGAACACCGAGTAAACCCGCATGAGAATCTGCGTGTTCTTCTTAGCCGCCAAGGAATGCATGAACGAAGGCTGGGAGCAGCAGAAGTGGGCCATGAACAGCTCGGATTCTTCCTCTGGATTGAGTGACAGCTCCTCAGAGGACAACATTCCTGTCACTTGGACTGCGAGAAAAAAAGTGCTCTCCGCCCCGCATCAAACGCTCTTCCATAGGATTTCCACAGATCCTGGGAGCTTAAAACGTGACGGTCATGTCTGATCCTGTTTGGCTTTCTCACTGATTCCCGAAGCATGCCGGCAAAGCAATTTTGTTTGCTCCACGCCATCGGGCCTTGCAGCCTTTGGGTTCTGACCTGAAACCGCGGCGCCCCTCGTAATTTGAGGTCAGCCCCCACTCGCCCAACGTGATCTCGCCCCAGAACCCCAACAGCTCGCCGGAGACGTTGAGCCTTACCCGAGTCAACTCGGTGGAACTGCAGCGTGCGCTGGACAGCTTCACGGCTTTTAGGCGGCTGGTTCTTAGCTTTCGGTTTGTCAAGAGGAGCTTTTGGGGGACCTTGGCGAAAGGGTGTCAAAATAACCCCGCTGTGGGGAGTGGAAATGGAGGTTGGATATGCCCGCCGGCCAGGTAACGGCCGGCTCTGAACTCATCTTCATTTGCGGGTCAACGTTTTGCGCGCGGTTTTTTGGAGTGGCCCTAAGCCACGGAGCTCTTTGGCAGGGCCTCGCTGGTGGGCAACCATCAGCAGACTCTGCAGATGCTGGACAAGGCCTTGCGAGAAAGTCACACACCTAATGGGTGTGAAGTTTGGTACACTTTTAGCATGACCACGCAAGACTGCTGTGTTTGTTGACCTTTTGGACATATTATTTAAAGGCGACATGACTTGAACGGCAGTGGTTCACAGATTGAGTTTGGAGCAGGTGACGGGTCCAACAACCTGCAAGAGCGATCGTTTGATATTTTTTGCAAGCCTTGCACCATCTTGCACCCAAGGCTGGCATGTCCGCCGAGTGCATTCACTGTACGCTGGGGGGCTTTGGCGTATTGTCATTCTTCTTTTCGGGCGGCATCGCATTTGGGCTCCACAATATCAGCGGTTTCCCTCATCCTTTGAAACCATCGAAATGGGATATTCCCCACACGTCATGTTGGACCCTCTGTATTGTGAACCCCCCCCCTGTGCCAGCAATCACTTGGAGCATGTTTGGTGGAAGACGGGGGTCTGGGTTGGGTTGGTGTCTCGGTTACGTTCTGGGTTGCGGAAACTGCCAAAGCATGATTCGAGTGAACGCAATTTTCTATAATAGCGAACCGTAAAACACTGGATTCTGAATTAGGAAACAACATGTACACGAGTGACTCCATGATTCAACAGGGTCCAAAATTGATGGATAAATTGATTGACCTACCTGTGAGCCAATTTACTGAGTCTGCAATTGATTTTGTGCAATCAGGTTTGTTGAGTACTTGGTTTTGCTGCATTCTCTCAAGCCTGCTTAAAAGAAATATTTGTGTAGCTGAGTGTGTCTGCAAGAGACTGAGCCCTTTGCCCACAGGAACAACAAACATACACACACACCCACAATTCATTGTCGGCATTCAGTTATAGCATGCTAATAGAGATAGCGGTATCATAGAGTATTTTGATAGTCATATTTCTTTTCCTTGGCAAGCTTGTCTTTTGGACGTGCGTTCAGCTACGCCTTTGTGTGTGCTCCTTTGCGTGTTTGCAGCGGATGTCTTTGGGGTGATGTTTTTGGGAGTCCTTGAAACGTGTGTCTTTGCGGGCTGTCTCGGGACGTGCCTTTAGGGCTGTGCTTGGGCCTGTGTTTTTTTGCTGATGTCTTTGAAGATGTCTTTTAAAGCTGCTCTCTTGGTATTGTTAGGTGCGTGTTTGTGTGTGTGTGTGGGGCTATTTTTGGGAATATGCTTGGGATGTTGCTTTGGGATGCCTTTGGGTACATCTTTGGGATTGGGTTGCACGGTTTGCATCTGGGTTAACTAGGTTGCGGCCTCTATCAGCTTGTTTGGCCATGTTGATGGAAGACCTGGGCTAGATGCTTGCTTAGTACATTTCTTGACCGTTCAACCGATCACCCATCGAGTGGCTCACTTAGCTAGTTTCATCCTCGTTTGTTTTGTTGCTCTTTCTTAGGTTGTTGGCTTTCCTTGCTTTGAACCGTGCCAGGAGTTGGAGAAGATGAAGATGAACATCGCCAAGCCGCCTTCAAAGCAATCTGCTGGCAGCGCCAAGCCCGCTGTTCAGCCGGTGAAGCTTCCCGGCGTGCTTGGCTTGAACCAAGGCGCGAAGTCAATGTGGAGAGCCGAGACGAATTTGGGTCGTTGGCTTTTGGTGGGTGAGGGGAACGACCAAGCATTCGAAGGCATCGCTGAGTGGCACGTGCCAAAGCAACCACAAGTTTTCAAACGACGCCCTGCCGACTATATCAGTGCATGAGGGCAAGCGGTACTTGGCAAGGCCAAGCAAGCAACAAAACAAGCAACGAAACAAGCAACCAAGCACAAGGCCAAACAACCAACTACGTCCCAGCCAAAGATGGGTTCCGATGACAACATAATTTGATGGCAAGCAAATTGAAGATGACATGCCGTTGCGGGCACGTTTGCACTTCTTTCTGAAAGGCAACTGGAGCAAATGACAAAGTTTGATACGACTGCCAGCCGGCCACATGCTAGATGCTTGCATGGCACTCACAGTTCCCGTTCTTGTCCGCAGGGACAAGCAGGATTGTTGGTGGCTCAGACCTCACAACTTGGAGGGGGTCCGAAACTTGTGGCGGTTTCCGTTCAGAAGATGTTGTGTGCCCCAACTTTGTAAGGGCACGGCACCATTCACAGGCGAGCGCCCCGTCGAGCGCAAGACCCTGCCAAACATGAACCTGCAGCAGCCCATGATGCACTTTCAGTCCATTGACAAGCAGCGCAAACGGCGCATGTCCTGGATCACCAAGACCGCCACTGTGGGAGATTTTGGCTTGCACGAGACTTGGGCGCGCAGTTTGACCTGTTCAGACCTTGCGCATGTTTTTTTGCCTACTGTCCGTCCGTATTTGGGCATTTTGGGTCCTATTCGGCTTTGGTCCGTTCGGCCCCCGAGGACAGCAAGGTCCACCCGGCGCCTTCCTTGCCAAAGGAGCCCGAGGTCGAGCAGCTGAACGACTTGCCCGCTGCAGTGGCGCATATCACCAAGGATCAGAGGGCGCAGGCCAAGAGGGATGCCGAGAAGTCCACGGAAGCGGGGATGCGCCTGGGATTGCTCGCGCTGCGGGCGATTCGGAGCTCCACCTTTTGGGATTTGGAAATATTCGAAATTCGAATCCTGAAGAGGAATTGGGATTCAGAATCCCATTGGGGAATCGGGATTCGGGACTCAAGACTCTCGATTCCAGGTTCGGGATCCCTGTTCAACCTCCCCAGGAGATTCTTCGGATCTCCTCTCCAAGGTTTGCTGATCATGACTTGAATTTGTGGTAACGTACCCTACATTGTCATTATTCAGGCCCCGACGCAGCAGAATCCTTCAGCTCGGCAGATCGGAAGACAGCACTTTGCGGCACTTGAAACAGCTTTGCGGTCATTGGGGTTTTGCATCCCAAGAGCTTTGCGCTGCCCTTTCCGCAAGGCTAAGGCACGGCTGTTGATTTCTGCCATGAGTTGGTTCCTTCGGCCTCTCAATTCCCAAGGCTCTCGAACTTCAATGCGGATCTGGCCAAGAATGCGGTGCGCCAGAGGGCAGCAGAGGAGCTCGAGCAGGCGCTTCGATTCCTCGCTTTGCCGGGGTTTCTCCTTGCGTAGGTTCACATCCCCCAAACTGGCACTGATTCGGCAAGCCTCTATCCCGTTTTTGGGTGCTTTCAGGAAACGATGTGGGCTTCCTGGACAATCTAGGGACATTTACATGGACTCCGAATACAACCCGCGTTGTTTTTGAGACCACTGCCTGATGAACCCCTGAGGTGCCTGATCTCATGAAGACTGAAGGGCGCCTGGCAGCCTTTGCAAAGCACCCTTGGTTCGAGAGAACTACCATGAGCGTGATATTTTTGAACGCCATATGGATATCAATCGACATTGAGTTTAACAAAGCGGACATCATCAGCGAAGCAGATGCTGGATTTGTCCTGGTGGAAAACCTCTTCTGCACATACTTTACCCTTGAACTGCTCATCAGATATTGCCTGTACAAGAAGACCTCCAGTGCGTTCAAGGACGGGCCCTTTCACTATGAAGCAGCCTTCATGTGTAGTGTAGCCGTAGCTGTATCTCGCTCTGGCCGAGTGTTGTTCAATTGCCTGTCTTGGTCTCCAGGACGCATGGTTCCTTTTTGACCTTATGCTGGTGACCCTCATGATCTTTGAGACCTGGGCTATGGCCATTGTGCACCTGGGCTCGCCCAGCCAGAACAGCGGAACGGGACGGTTGGAAGAGCTCAAGCGATGGTATTGGGCCTTGTTGGGTCTCAGGCCAAGACAGTTGGTGCCCTACCGATCTGTTCGGGGGGGTCCAGTTGATCCACTTGCGACAGGTGTTGCCGTGTGTCTAGGCGGCTCGATCTTCCCCACAAGCATCAGCCTGCTCTCCGCATGCCCCGCAACCTACTCGCCGCTGACAGTTTTCAGCCTTCATTGCTTAATTCTGAGGTAACGGAGTCAGCGTGTGCACAAAAACTGCTCTCTGCGCATTTGCATGCTTCCCTTCTCTTGTCCAAGGCATATTCCTGCTTGTGTATGCGTGCATGCACTAAAGAGTGTCCAGCGTGCCTGTGGATCCACATCTGGCGTGGGACGAAAAACATGGAATTTCGGCGCGCGTATGCTAGAAGCATTTAAGCTCGTCCGTTTCGTCAAGTTTGATTCTGAACCAACAGGGTTGCAATGTTTTGCCGTGCTTCCGATCTCCTTGCAGCTGCCCAAGGCCCTGGCCGCTTGGCCTGTTTTCTCCGTGCGCCGCTCAGGGCATCCCTGCAGGCAGAGTCAAGCACGCAACTAAGTTGGGCAGGCTTTGGTATGCTGAATAAATCAGTGAAGGCAACATGTGGGCAGGTGGACAGCCTAGAAGGGCAGATGGCCTGGCCTGACGCATTTGCCAGTGCGTGTCTGACCTGGCCGGCGCTCGCAGGGCTTTCCTCCGCGCAAGCGAGAGCGTTGCCACGCACAAAGCTCGCAGAGGTGTCATCAAGCTCTTCACGGTTTTGGCGCGACAGCGAGACCGGCTGCGATGCGAACAAAGTCTGCAAGGGGTTCAGCGGGTGATATACAACGCCGCACGGAGCCATGCACAAAATCTGTAGAGCGCTCTTCGGGAGAGCTTCAGGATACGACGACGGCAAAAAACGAGCTCCCACGCCGCTCACTTAATTAACCAGGGTAGCCTGGAGCGTGCGGGAAGTGCCCAAAGTACTGCATCTGCCACGAAAAGCTGCCCTTTTCCAATTGCCAGAAGCGCAAACCCCATTTCACCTCTATTCTCGAGGCAGCTAGGTGAATTCACAAGTACTTCGTAGTTCGTATTAAGTTGTAATAGTACTTCGTAATAAGTAACAAGCAAGAAGTGTGTATTTGTTGCCCAATGCCCAGCGGCCGGCAGATAGAATTTGCAAAAAAAAATAAAACGTAGCTAGAAAAGCTACTGTCTTTCTTTCTATTGCTGGATGCCAATGGCATGGTCATGACTCGCAAATGACAGCGTGTCAAGCAAGTTCGACTTAGTGACACGCATGGACTTGCGTGTCACTGCGTGTCACCGCCTGTCACTTGCGTGTCACCTCACCTGCGTGTCAGCATGGCAGAACAACAGTAGATCGCTGCAAACACGTGTCACCACGTGTCACCACGTGTCACCACGTGTCACCACGTGTCACCACGTGTCACCACGTGTCACCACGTGTCACCACGTGTCACCTGTGTGTCGGGGTTTGGGAGGGGGTAGAAAAAGTAGCTTGGTTTTTACCACTGTGTGGGAAACAACCGTACTACCGTAGGTTGGGGATCTACTGTCTTGTTTATTTGCGGAACGTCTGCCAAATAGACGGTAGAAAAAAAACAAAAGGAAAGCAGCAGCCAGATGTGCATTCCTCAAGATTGGCCCAGGCCCCTTCGTCCAAGGTACACGGTGACGGGTGGGGGGGGTGCCGGGGTGGCGGGCGGCGCCTCGGTGCTCCGCGTGGCGCGCATCATGCGGGTGTTGCGGACGGCGCGCATGGCGCGACTGGTGCGCCTGATGCCAGAGCTGATGAGTCTCGGATCTGAATCTAAATGTCTTGTTCCAGGTTTGTTTCCTGAATCAAAAAGTTGTTCCTCGTTCTCCACTCGGCCAACAAACAAGAATCGCAGCGCCGTACTTCCCTTGTGCTGCCTAGCCATTCTCCTGTTCACCCGCCACTGATTCTACATGAGGCTCTCACAAGCCTGGAGCCTGACACAAGCTTGTAGAGTGCAGTATAGAGACAGGGGGCTTTTCCCGAACGGATCACGCTCAATTACTTGACTTACATGACAGCCAGGAACGAGGACTCCCTTCAAGTTTCAGCCATTTCCCCCGAGGCAGAGAGCCTCATGGCAGAGCCTTCCCCGGCTCCGATTTCTTTCAGTTTTGGGGGCACTCCCTTTCGAGCCGGGAAATTTATTCTATCAGCCTGCGTATGTTTTGGTTTGACTTTGTGTGCCCGGTAAGATCAACAACAGCAGGGCCAAGCACCAAATCAATTGCAATCTGACGCACATAGATTGTCTACACATTGCCGGACTTACAGGGAATGCCTCTTGATGTTGGCGTTGCGCGTGTGCTGCACGCTTGGGATGTTGCCAGGGATGCCACAGTGGCCTATTCAGTGCAAGCTGACAAAAGAACACATTGACGTGATAGCTCCAAAAGCGAGATGTGTTTCTTTGACCCTGGGTGAAGCTATGCAGCTACGTGCATAGCCCAAGCTGTGGCATAGACCAGTGGAGCTGTTTGCTTTAGTCATCCTAGGTGACTTAATACCCCACCTGTGGATCTATCCACAGGAGCATGTTAAGCAGTACTGGAATAGGAGCACCACGTGAACATCCACACCCAGGACATCCCAACTGTTTCTACAAATTGGTAAGCGGCAAACCTTCAGAGTTGCAGACCAAGGATCCTCATCAAAGGCATGATGGTCGCATGCCGGTCTGTATTCTTTACCCTGGTGCTGCTGCTTCTTATCACCTACGCCGCTCGGCAATGATGAAATCATGTTGTGCATCCAAATGTGCAAATTTCGATCGAGGCCTCGTTTGGACTTTAAGCGCGGGCAACCCACATGTGTTTCGGACCTCCTGAGGCTGAACCTTTGCCGGTGCACCTTCAAAAAGTATCAAAAAGTGAGGCTACTTCATGTCCGATCTTCCAGGTAGAACGGATGCTTTTTCCGTGGTTTCAGCTGGGCATCCATCTCTTTTGGTTTTGCTCAGGAGGCCTGTGATGTTACGCCTTGGAATTGGGCTCTGGTTTCTGCGAGTCCTTTGCCAGATTTGCACAGCTATCTATGGATGGCCACCCCCCTGCAACAGGATCAGTCTCGTGATTGGATTCGGCCATCAGGTCCACCACGATGAACCCATTTTGTGTTCCCTTGTGGGATCTCTATATCTTAGATTGAACCTAGTCCTGTGTCCCAAACTCCCCACTGGACCTTCAACAGGTTGGATGAGAATACGACTCAAAAGTGCAAACGCCAGTTGCCACTACAACATAGCTTTGAATTCTCTCAGACAGTATGTCCTCATATTACCTTTTATGGTGATGCTGGTTTTACAGGCTAAGACATGAATGCCGTCACACTTGTCACGCCGAGTGGCTTGGAAGCAGCAAGTATTGATCAATAAAGGGCCCCCATCGAACGGATCGAGATATCAAGAGACGAAAACTAGCAACAGGTCGGGCTGAATCAAATGGGCTTCCCCACCATGAAGCTCGTTCACAACGGCCGACACTAGAGACCAAGCAGAATTTGTTTAGTTACCTTGTGTCTAAGATTTGTATGGTACTGAGTGTTAGACTTTGTTTCTGCCACTGGTAGAGTGATCGGTAGAGACCACTGCGCTGGCTACCTTCTTACTCACCTGTTAGCTCCAGGGGCATTTGCATGTACAGTGGAAAATTACCCCGTTTTCCCCGTTTTCCTTGCGTGCCAGGGTTTTGGTTGCAAACCGGGCCCGCTCGTTCACTGGGCCGCCTGGAGAGCCGCGGTCTCAGGTCTTCAGCGTGGCCTTCATGCAGTTCAGCCGCGGCACGGCGCTGGAGCAGAGCTTCTTCAGCGACATGGGCACGGCGGTGATGTCCCTGATCTTGAGCCTTTGAGATCGAAGTGGGGCAGACCGGACCCTTTGGGCAAAGGGAATGGCGCCCTATCTGATATGTGTGAGACTTGGTGGTTCGAAGGGCCTTCGATCTGAGGTTCCTGACCCGGGATTGCAGAAAAACCTCGCGTTTTCTAACAGATGGCAATGCCTGGCGTTGAAAAGCTTTCTTGGACAGCCTGGTATCCGACAAAATTCAGCCTGGTCTGTGTTGGTTTCGGCTTTAGCGCGAAGAACATGTCCACATTTCCTCGCTCTCTTTGGGATGGTGCCAGCCTGGGTTGAGCGGTGCCATTTCATGGCGTCCTTCCATAGTGGCAAAATTCTGAGAGGAACTGTGAACATGAAGGCAAGAACGCAGAAAGGCAGACAGGAAAGCAAGCAACCAAGATACTGGAATTAAGCCGACACGCCGTTGTTGGCTGCGTTGGCAGATTCAGCTGCGCACTTGAATCTGTCGGCATTGGCGGAGGGTGCTGGCGTCAAGCGCTTTCGCTGCGAAAGTCATCGTCTTGCCCCAGCCAAGGAATTGTATTTTGGCAGACCAGGACAGAAAGGTTTCCTCAGTTGTTCGGCGCCTGTGGCTTGCGTAAAAGAACGGAAAAAATGCATGCGGGCAGGCTGCCCGGAACCATACTCTTCGTGCAAGTCACGAGGGAATGCGAGGGCCACTCTCAACATTCCCAAATTCGGGGTCTCATGAGCCCAACATGACTCGAACATGGCCTCAAACATGCTCAAACGGCATGTTCCGCGCCAGAGAATGGACCTCAATGCTTCAGCGCAGCGTAGCGCAGGAGGCATTCTTCCAGTCTGTGGCGAAGGAGAGCTGGTTCATGGCGTGCATGGTCCTGATCTTTATTCTTTTCGGCTCCCTCACGGTGATGAACATGCTATTGGGCGTGCTAGTTGAGGCGCTGCTTCTCTTGCCTTTGAGCGAATGTGCAGGGGTGCAGCATTTAGTACGTCACCCTTTGCAAAGTTTTTCCGTGCAGGCTTTTGCAAAGCCAAAGGAAAAACTGTTTCGCTGATTGCGGGCCTTGCCCTGGAAGGCCATCAAGACGGTGTCGACCATAGAGCGGGAGCAGCTGGAGGTGGACTTTGCGAAGAAGGCGTTGTGGGAGCTGATCAACAAAGGAGCCGCGCGCCAGTCAAGAGCAAAAGAGCCAGAGCCCCATGCAATTCATGGATCAATAACGGCCACTTGATGGCCCTTCGCTCCCGATTTTGGTCGACATCAGCGACAAGGTACTGCTCTAAGTTTCAAAATGAGGTTCCTACAGAGCTTGTTTTGGGCCTCTTTGGTCTCCACTTGCCTTATGATCTCGCGCGCCCACAGAGGTCACAACCCCGGCAATTTGTCAAAAGCACGAAAACACAGAATCCAAAAAACTCAATCCGGAAAATGGGACTCAAAACAAACTCAGGAAAACCTCAGCCTCGAACTCGAATCCACATCTTGAGTTTGAAACCGAGTCTGTAGCTTAGTTTTTCTTGAGTTGTTTTCTGAGTCTTTGATTTGTTTTCTGAGCTATTTGTTTTGTTTGTTTGGGTTTTTGTCTTTCTTTTTTTTCTGCAGTGTTCTTCAATACCAAAAGAAACTCAGCACCAACTAAGAAAAACTCAGCAAAAGCTTCGCTCCAGACTCAGCCTCAAGCTCAAGTGCGGGGATCGAGTTCAAGGTTGAGATGTCTCTGAGATTTGCAGTTGATTCTGTTTTGTTTTGTGAGTCGTCCCTTGTGTTTTTGCTGTGTGTGTTGTTCTTGTGTTGGGTCTGTGGTTTCAGCTGAGTTTTTCGGCTGAATATATTTTCTTTGGTGCATTTTGCAGGGCAGCAGAAAGCAACCGAGTCTTAAGTAGTTTCTTCATCGCCAGGAGATGCCGACGAGGACGGGGACAACCGCATCTCGGAGCAGGAGTTCATGAACGTCCTGCAGAAGCCACAGGCGGTGACTGCGCTGACCAGCCTCGGCGTGGACGTGGAAGCGGCCCTGGACTATGGCCACTCGGAAGCTGTAGGCCACCTAGGTCCCCCAGCTAGGTGCCCTTTTACCGTTTCTTTTTTAGAGAAAAAATGCTTCCCTTATTCTACCCTCTCTACTGGAGGACCTAGCCACACCAAGCTGGCGTATGCCCCCAGCCAGATATGGCCCACTTCAAAATTGTGCATGATATGGATCGGGGATTGGGCAACCACCAGAGCGGGTGCCTCAGAATCCAATTCGCGAGGCATGCCCAAGTTTGCCTAATGAGTTGTCACTTTTGTTGTGGCGAAGGGAACAGACAGCTATTTGTTCACATGCCTTCTGGTGCAACATATCAATCTTGCTTAGCTACCGACCTGCTGTCCAGGGAGCCGCGAATGGACAATTTGACAATACTACACCTGGAGGGGCCCCAACTTTGCTTGCATTCCCTCAGTCAACAAACCCAAGTTGACCCAAGCGCCACCAACGTTCTCAATGGAAGCGGGCGATTCTGCGATCCTTAGGCAAGTTGCTCTTCGAGGATGGTGAGCCACTGACCTTCGGGGACTTCATGAAGGGCATCTTGACGCTGCGGGGCTCCAATCAGACCACCGTCAAGGCGACTCGGGCGATGAGAGACACCCGCGAGACCTTTTGAGTTCCAGCATTTTGAGCAGTTGTTCCCCCTGGAGGCCTGAAGGTTTCCCAAGCTTGGCATGGTGGCCGATCCCAAGGGCACATGTTCTTGCTGGGTGACCTATGGCCAAATGAGGATATCATCGACCTGCGGAAGTTCACAGCAGACGAGTTCTCGCAGATGCACGACATCCTCAAAGAGATTTGCAATTTCTTGGTGGGCCAAGGACTAGACTTGGCAGCAAGCTAGGTCAATTGTGCCAAGGTGCCGGTGTCGGCTTGTCAGTTGATTGTGATGTGCCGGCCAATGTTGCGCAATTACTGTTGTAAGAACGAAGCCATGCTGCAATGCCGCTTGGGACCTACAACTTGCCGTACATGGTGCCATTAATTTTCACATGCAAATTGCAGGTTGCTCACCTGCAAATAAATCGAGCTCGCCCATTGTGAGGCTGGTGAATGAAGTTAGCTTCTGCAAATCCATGATGTGCCTCATGTCTCAAGGGTAAACGGAGCAGATGCCTGCAGGGTGGTTGCGGTGCACAAAGCTGGGCTGCTAAAACATGCTAGCAACCAGCTGCTATCAATATGATGGGTCTGAACAAGCATTTGCATGTGCAGCCCTCAGCGCAACTCTTCTGTGGCCTCCTCTTGCCTCCCTTTATCGCTACGCACCGCGGAAAAGTATTGTTTTGTTTGTCCTTGAAAAATGGTGTTCACAGTCAGACGGAGTCACGCGCCAAGTCATGTTGCAAGAACCGAGCGGGTCCACTGCAGGATTTAAGCCTCCTCCGCCCTCTGGGAGCCGGTTCTCGCTTTCGTCGCAGCAGTCACGGGGCTCTTACTCAGAGCGGAGTACGCGCAGTGGGCAGAGAATCGTGAGCCAGCTTGCATGAACCGGGGCGGGACTCCGGGCGGGACTCCGGCTCCATTTGACCGTGTACAAAGAGGCCGTTTAGTTGAAATGCTCGCCTCCCAAGGAGGCTTGCAGGCATCGGAGCGGCTCAGCGTGCCAGCGATGTTGAGTTCACGGCTTTAGAGAGAAACATGAAATATGTTTGTTTTGGGAACGGGTCAAACAGCTGAGATGCATTCAAGGGCCCTTGTCCTCTTGAGCTGAAGTTAGCCGTTTTCAACCTGTGCCATTGCCTTGGATGGTCTTGGATGTTGCTAAGCTGGGGTAACAAGGCAGGCCTGGCAGCTGGTCACCCATGCGCGGCACTGACTGCATGTGTGGAAAACGGCGCTAGGGCACTGACTGCACTCAATGTGGCGCTAGGGGTGGTGAACTCACCTACCCCAAAATGGTACCATGGGCATTGACCAGCCTGATTAGCCCTTTGACCTGCAAGCCATCGACAACTGCTAAGTTCGACGTCTGGCTTTTGCATCCTACATTCCGATGGCAAAGAAGAGCGGCAAAAGGTATCACTAATGGCCTCCCAGGTGTTCCCGGCGGGTTGAATTTTTGTATGCATCCTGAAGGACTCCCCCCGATAATGATAATGATGATAATAGTAATACTGATGATGATGATGATGATGATGATGATTGATGATGATGATTGATGATGATGATTGATGATGATTGATGATGATTGATGATGATTGATGATGATGATGATGATGATGATGATGATGATGATGATGATGATGATGATGATGATGATGATGATGATGATGATGATGATGATGATGATGATGATGATGATGATGATGATGATGATGATGATGATGATGATGATGATGATGATATTGATGATTCATGATTCATGATTCATGATTCATGATTGGTGATTGGTGATTGGTGATTGATGATTGGTGATTGGTGATTGGTGATTGATGATTGGTGATTGGTGATTGGTGCTTGGTGATGGGTGATGGGTGATGGGTGATTGGTGATTGGTGATTGGTGATGGGTGATGGGTGATTGATGATTGATGATTGATGAATGGTGATTGGTGATTGGTGATGATGATGATGATGATGATGATGATGATGCGTCATGTGTGTGTGTGATCAAGGATCCCTTCTGTAATTAATGTTGTGTGATCTTCGTGGGTTCATGTTGCGGAAGGCACTGGGGAAAAGGCAAGCACAGGCTTGCTCAGAGATGTGTATTTCAAGGTGCGTTTGGAATTCCCATTGCTTAGGGCTCGCTGGCGTTTCGAAAGGGCAGAAAGCGCAACTACCCGATTGGGGATTAGCATTGGTAAACTCATTTGTCTCCCACCGTAAAGGGCTCCTTCACTGCCCGATGCCAGCCAAAGGCCGCACACCCCTGATCGTCGCTGCTCGCTTTGGATATTCCGAGGTGCCACATGTGCGAGGGGTGTCTGGAGCATGGACGAACTTGGTTCACATGCTATGACGTCGACCGTCCTATCTTACATTTTGCTCATTGCCGACTTGCTGCTGGTTAACTTATGTATTTTGGTTGCGTGTTTTTTTCTTTCGCGTCGCCACGAGCGATTGGGTACTGTGATTGGGTGCATAGTCATCGCGAGTGCATCAGCTCGCAGTTTGGGGCAATGATGGTTGTTCGATGCTCGCACACACCTCAGCCAAAGCACAACTCTCACAAACCTTCTCACCCGATGCTTGACTCACTGCGCAAGCTCGTCTTCAACAGGATGAGGCACTATCCGTCTAATAGTAGCATCTACTGGCAAGTTAGTTCATCGCAATGTAGGCTCGGTGTGAGCTTGAAGCCCCCTGCTTCTTTGTACAACAATTCCTCACACAAGAAGCAGCTGTGCCCTACAATTGTTCACACAATTCCTATTAGTACAACTGCAACAGCTCAGGCAAACCGCACACAACCATAGCAACCATACTGCACGCACACACTTGCACATCATACAGCAGTGGGCATGTTTGGGCATGCCTCTAGCTCTGTTTGTTGCAGGAATATATTCAAAACTTTCTTTAAACTGTTTGGTAAAGCAAAGCTTTTATGTTGTTGGCTAGGCATGGACGGCTTGACGCTCCCTCAGACAAGCACGGCCGATGGCCATCACGAGAGCAAAGCAATGTCCTGTGTTGGTTCGAAGGCACGGGCCAGGCTGTTGCACGATTAGAGAAGCCACTTTGACAGGCGTGCGCCTTGCTGCTGGAGCACAAGGCGGACCCAAGAGCTCTTGTTGAAGGCGGGGTGCTTCGTGCAACAACTGCTGGAGGATCGGATTCCGTTTGTCAGCATCCCTTGGTTGAAGCTAGAAGCAGGTAGCGACTTGCTCGCTTGCCGAGCGCGCTCACTGCTGAGCCTGTGTGCATGACGATCATGTCTTCCGAGTGAATGGTTTGCCGACGCCAACTTGGCCAGGTAGTGAGGTCTTGGAAATCAATGGCACTGCGGCGGACATGGCGCGCCACTACGGGCACAACGAGGTGGGTCTTGAGATGGGAGTGAGTGGCTCAGCGCCGCATTGGAAAGAGATTAACACACACACAGACACGGGCACACAAGCCCCCCCCCATCACTGCCTTCATGAGCCCTCCTCGAATGTTGGGCGACTTATGATGAGTTGGTGTTTACATACTCAGACATCGCTTGAGGCGCTTAATGCCCGACCTTTGCTCCAGGTGCTCCAAGTGTTGGAGGCTTGACGCCGGGCAACGTTTCACCAGCCTGGGGTCAGCCGGCGAGGCCTGAGGTTCTGGCAAGGGAATATTCCAAATGCCCGCATGAGCTACAAGCCATCTACGAACCTGCGTTGCTTCTTTATTCATCCCGATCTGTGGAGTCAGATGGGTTCAACTCACAGGTCTGGTCTGGAGAAGGGCAAGTTGCGTTGGATCAAGTGCATTTGTTGCCGCGGAGCTTCGGCGCCAAAACATGTTAGTGATTTTCCCACCTTGTTGGGTGGCTGCGAATCATCTCCCAACGCTGGAGAAAAAGGAAGCTTTCGTAATTAGCGGGCAGCATACTATAGCAAGCATCAGACGCCGAAGATGCAGATGTTCAGATTGCTTGGCAAGGACATAGTGCATGTTTACATGATTCCAAGAAGGCACAGATCGATTTTCACAGGTCACAAGAGTTCACTTCTCGTTGATTGCCTGCGTTCAAAGGCTTGCCAAGGCTCAGGCAATGTTTGTGTTTACTCGGAGAAGAGTACAGGTCTGCATGCGCACACAAAGATGCAGTGTACAAGGCATCATGTTGCAAGTTGCAATGGTGGAAACATTTGTTCAAGAGACGCCTGACAGGCATAGGCAATCACTGCACTTGGGCTGACGTCTCAGGGGCAAAAAATACGTTGTGTCAGAATTTAGGTTGAGTGCAGAGTACTGGCTCCATATCAGGCAAATGTGTGCTAAGTTGGGATACGCCATCTTGAAGCAAGGCATCGATGAGTGCATGGCAGTGAGCAAACCAATGAAGGTTTTTCAGTTTGGGATTCCCAGATATTCCCAGCGTAGCCAGCCTGTGCCTTTCTCGTGCTCATGGTGTGCAGCACGGTGCCAAGCTGTTGGTTCATGCTCGGGGGTGCGATGCTGGGACTCACTGGCGTCGTGCTAGTGGCAATCGGTGGCATGAATGTTGGCGGCACGAGTTTGAACCTGTCTACTGCCATGGACGGCACCATGTCGGGCAGCTTGCCAGTTGTTTCCAGCAACTGCCAGTACTACATGTTGGTGGTTGACAAGGGCGCCCCCTGCACAGCCATTACGCAGTCTGTCAGTGTTGGAGCTTTGGACTCCTCCAATTGCGGATCCACTGAGATTCCGGAAGGCGGTGACGAAAAAGACTGGGCCATCGGCGAGTCCCTGATGAAGCTTCAAGACACGAAGATTGCCGCCGTCGTTACCTTTTCTTCGAGCGACAGTGGCACTGCACAGTACAGCAGCAATGTCCCCACATGGTCTATGGATGTGTGCGGCGTCAGCAACCAAGTGGCAGATGCTGTCACGCAAGGCGTCGTTATGCTTGTGGCTGGCGTCCTGGTGCTGCTCGTGGGCGTGGTTACATTTTGCTGCGGAGCAAAATCGCAGTCATGGTACGTACATCCTGGTGTGGCCTGGACATAACCTAAGACTCAATCTAATTCAATGCTTTTTGTGGCGTGCCTGCTCCTTTAAGGAAACCAGGTTGCTGCTGGAAATGCCGGCGAGATGCCCGGCCCAAAAAAGTATGATTCAAGCAAGAATCGCTGAGGAAGGCTTAGTATCGCTTGATATATGTTTGGTTGTTTTTTGCATATCAGACGCTTCGGCATGTAGCACGCATTCGTCCACCCTTTTGGCATGGGGGGTGCACATATTTTAACACATGGTGTATTGTTCAATCTCAAATCCTAGGATGTATAAGCTCACGTGGAGTGAACATTGCACATTATACATGCTAATTTCACAGATTAAGCACCAGTCGCACGACAGATTGTCATGTTGAAACATGGAAGGGTATGGATGATCCAATGATTTGTTATTGCGAGAACTGAAGCTGTATAGACCGGGCATACACGCACACAAAAAGAACGTGTGTGTATATATACTATATATTTAATATACAATATGCTAAATTACATATATGTATATATTCATGTATAGGGGCTAGATTTAGTGTTGGTCGAAACATTGCGAGCTTTATTTGTAACAAGTACATATGTTTCAATCACTGCTTATTAGATCGAGAATAGATTTGATATGGCATAATGTGTTCGATTTTGTTGACAAATGTGTTGAACTTGTTCTATTTCGAAGATTTATTCCATTGCATTTGGAACTGCGCGATACTATCAGAGCTGATCAAATACAGTGTAGAAGGAACTTCCGTAGTACTGGAACTTGTTGAGCTGCAACGCGGCGAGGTAGAACCCGTGGTCTGTCCAAATAGTTGACTAGCTAACGCATTAAGCAGCTGGCTTGCACGACTAGCTTGTGGCTAACTTGCTTTTCTAGCAGCTGACTGAGCGAACTGCTGGACTAACAAGTTAGCTACCTAACTGGCTAACTGAGTCAAATATCAAAGTAGCAAGCAAGCTCATGAGCTAACCAGCAAATTTGCTCGTAGCTATCAAACTAGCCAGTCAGCCAACTAGCCTACTCGTGGGCTAGCTAAAAACTTCACCGGCTACCACCAAAGGCAAACAATTTGTCTTTGGTTGCGCATGTTCAGCTCAACATCACCTTCACTGCCCTTGACATGATGCGTTTGGTTGTTTGGCGCTTGGGTTTTTCTCATGTCGTGTGGGGGGCGGCTTACAAAGAACATGTCGTTCGATAATTTACTGGTTGAGACGCCCCGGTTGAGAAGCCCAGGCATCCAGCGGCGCCCTTCTACTTTATTGTTTTCGATGGGGCCTCACTTTGAAAACAACAGAAGCTAGCTACCCAAATTCTGCGATATGTTTCCCATGACGATTGGTCGCTTTCACCCACCTTGACGATGCGGAGTTGGCCTTGATGCGCTGACGTTTTGCATGGCAGATCCCAGTTGTTTGGTGGTGCCCTGCACTGTGGGTTTCCCACTGGCAGCCTAGGGAACATGGGGACTGCATAAATTTCATGGCACACGAGGGAAAAACATGCCTAGCCATTTTGTCTCAAGCCAACATTCCCAAAGGCTGACGTATGCAATAGGCGTGAAGCACAAGGCTCATGAGTCCCTTGCGGTTCTTGTGCGTCGTTGCTGTGCCATGCTTGGCAATCGATGGCGGAGATGTGCTGGATGCCATGCTCGGTTCAGCACCTGAGGCGCAGCCGGTGGTTGTAGATCCTGCTCTTCCCAAAGCACCGCCACCGATCATCTCTCCCAACAAGCCCGGATGCGCTGTGGACCTGACCTCAGTGCTCTACACATTGACGTTGGTCAGCCGCTACATCACGTACTCCACAACAGACTGCTCCCAGCCAGGCCAAACATCAGCAGTCTGTGCGGACGATATCACCAGCACGATCAGACGAGTCGCGAGCACCGTCAGCTATCTCGCTGACGCAGTGTTCACATGTGGCAATGTGGATGGGTCTTGCACGCAGACAATTTCAGGCGCCATAGCAGCTGTGGCCTCCGCCACTGATGACATGGTCATGTTGGAGCCCACATGCTTTGACGAGCTGTTGTGTACCTATCAAGTCTTCAGCTTTCTTAGCGACGGAGTCAGTGCAGCAAAGAACATTGACACGGCCGTCCTGCAGTGCCAGATTCAAGCAGATGGGGGCGATGATGGGGACGACGGCGACGATGGGGCCGATGGGGACGGAGGTGGCGACAGCGGGGGGGCGCCTGCGCCCGCACCCCCACCGCTGACGGCTGATCAAGTGGCTGCACTGTACCCGGGCGCAACGACTCTAGCACCACAAAGGTTGTTGCCGGAGGCCCTCCGAGGATCAGGTGCCCGTCACCCGTCAGTGCTCCCGCCCAACTCCGACGGCTTGGATTGAGCGACTTATGCTTGCCTTATCCATGTAGACAGTTACCAGCATCTCTCCCAATCTCTTGATCAGAATCCCTGCTACTTGTATCACAATGACAACGTTCTGGCCACCAGCCATGAGCAATGGATAGCAATTCACAAGATTCCATGGTCTCGGTTTGGGGTGGGCTATCAGGGCTGACTTCTGTTCACCGTTGGGTGCCTTTTGGGAAGGTGAGCAAACGGCAACGCCAAGATTGGGCCGAGGATCCCATTCCCCGTGATACAGTGGGCGCAAGGCCGTGGTTTGAAGGGAAACAAGCAAGCAACCACACATGTGGCAGATTTCCCTTTCTCTAGAGACAACTTCAGCAGGGATTCGGAGAGGTTCTCCCGTTGCTGGTTGCAACGTTGCGGGTACTGGGCGACCTCTCTGAGAAGTCGCGGTGCGCGAGCTCGCTCCGCAAAACCGCAACTCGGCTCGGCCCAAGGTGGACGGTGCCTAGAATCGCGGTTTGTGCCGACCCATTTCTATTGAGTTTGTTTTCCTTGTTTGTTGCCTTTTTGGTAGACGATAGCATGGAGTTACGGAATATTGAGATCTGCTCAAGTCGTTTCGTGGAAATGTCAAAACCGTCAAGTCGTTTCGTGGAAATGTCAAAACCGTTGTTGCCTGTGTGGCCTTCTTTACTTTCCCCTTCTAACGCAAAAAGAACAAGTAACTGTGCACAGGGGCTTATGTTGGCCAAGAAACATGGTGTTTGTGGGGTGATCTTGAGCTTGCATCAGAAGCGGTCTGGCAGCAGTTTTGCACGTGGCCTGCCATCTTTTGCGAGGGAATGGGATTGTTATGCAGCTATGCAGATTGGTTATCACGTTCTGTCCGTGATTCTATAGATATTGCGATGTTGGGTTTGGCAAGAAGCATCCCTGGGGAGCCTATGGCATGGCACAACGTAGCAGGGAAGGCCAGACCGCTGTGCGGCCATCATCCTAGCTTTGAAGCCGGGGTTGGGAGTAGCAATGGATGGGCGTGGCTTCCTTTTGACCCGTAGTCACCTAGGGGTTGGTATTGGAGCTTGGTTCTGTCATGTGGATGCCCAGAAAGGACAAGATGTTGTTGAGTATGCACGGGGCGCAAGACAAACACTCTCGGAGCCAATGCTTGTGGATGCGAAAAGAGATGTGTTGCTCCTTGGCATGCGCTTCAGTCTGTATTACGTTTTGGGTCTTGTTTGTTGTTGGCAGGCTGGGCATGTCACCATGCTGTGTCCTTTTGGGGTCTTGATAGGTTCGAGTGGCGCAGCAAGCAGACTGCCAGCTTTTTGACCTGCATTTGCTTGGGAAAAATGATGCCGTTGAATTCTCCAACGTATTGCCACGCATTGCTTACACAACCCATGCTTGAAGGGTTCAAACCTTCTAATCATCTTCCGGGCACCAGTGACTGGCGCCTTCTGCGATGTCCTGCACTGCAGTTAGCAGCTGTGAGCGTGTCTTCATCCCCGTTCTGAGGTTCGTTTGCAAGGGGGTCTACATCGGGCTCCCTTTTGTACATTCGCTTGGTTGTACTTCGGCTACAGAGCATGAAATGATTGAACGACCGAACGCCCGCGAAAGCTTTGCTGGATCTCTCCCTTTTGGTTGGTCATTCATACAGCATTTAGCAACCTCCTTTGAATAATCCCTGTGAAGAATCGCCAGAGTTCATACGCAACCATGTTTGACCAGTTGTGGTATTTATGTATTGCCCAAGCTTTACTCATGACCATGCCCCATAAGGTCGAACTGTTCTGTCCAGGTCCTTTGGTTGCAAGCGTTGTTCGATTGTCAAGATGCCAATGTGGCAGCTGGCAAGACGCCCGGTGAGATCATTTTGCCCCACCTGGTGTCTAAAAACAGCACACGCGTCATGAAGACTTCGCATGGCAAAATCCCCCGATTTCCGGATTGTTGATTTCAGTAATTTGTGATGTGTTGGCTGGTGCGATGCGGCGAAGCGGCGAATGTGCCCTGGGGCTTACGTTGCCAAAGAATCCAAAGACCCTAGGATCAAAGGTGCTGTTGTGAAGGAAGCCAAGGGCCAACCAAAAAGGCAGAGAGAGTCTGCAACTTGACATTTGCTGGTTCCAGTTGATGTGTTCATTTTGGTATTGTGTCGCTCCCGGGATTTCCCATTCAACTGGGCTGATCACTGGCGCTGGTTTATGTAGCCCTTCCCTTGGTCAAAGGAAGCCCTTTGCAGTGACTTCCCAGTAGGGATTGTGGGATACAACAAAATTTCCAGGGAGACAACAAGGAGACCAGTCGTTTTGGCAGTGTTTTTTGGATGTGAATATTAATTACTTGAAAGGCAAGGTAAACTTGTTTTCTTCGAGGATTGGCAATAGATCAGTTTTTCGAAGCATGCTCACTGCTGTGCGGCACCGCGTTGCCTGCGAGTGCTGGGCGACCTCCGCCAGAGAGGCTCGGCCTCCGCTTACCGCAACTCGGAAGACTAAGTGCAGTGAACCAGACGGCGAGCTCACCCAACTATATTATATTGATTGCATGAAAATTGAAAATATCCATTCGTTTTTTGAAATATATATAAATCAAAAATAATCATTGAATATAAATCTAAAATGAAAAAAAAGAGGATATATTGTAATAGTAGATATTCTATTATATTGATTTAGCGATGATTAATTATAATTGATTTATATAATATAATTTATATATATATTGATAGTATTATGTTTGAGAAAATTTATTTAAAAATAAATATATATATTATTAGTCTGAAAACAATATGGTGTGGTTGATTGTTTATTATTATTATTATATATTTCGCAAAAAACATGGGATGAATAAAATCTATATTTATTGTTCGGTTTTGATATAGGATGTTATTATATGATGATATGATGAAGGATATTATTTTCGGTTATTATAATAAGATATAGATGATGTTGTTTATATAGGATGAATTATTTGTTTAATTATGTTAGATTAATATATATTAAATATAGATAAATTTATAGGGTCTAAATGAATATTTTCTAAATTATTATTGATTAGATGATTATGTATTGATATGTTTTGAATAAAATTAAGCGAACGAGAATATATAAATAATATAGGTATAATGATTAAGGAAAGAATATAATACAAAAAGGAAAAACATATTTTATGAATTGAATTTGTTTGGATATTGAATTTGAATTTATAATATGTCTTTTTAAATTATATAATAATTTTATTGGTTTATGATTTTATATTTCGATTTACAAATATGCTTGAAATTTTAAAATAATTTAAGGGATTTTTAATTAAGATGAAAAATTATTTGAGGGTCGGGTGTTAGGGGATATAATTTGAGGTGATGATGGAGGTATTGATTTTTGAGAATGGAATTGATTTATGAGAATGATGGTCGGAAATTAGGGGATATATAATTTGGGTTGCCGGTTGGAGGTATGATTTGTAATTTGGCGAGAATGATGGTTAGGTGTTAAGTGGGGTATGCAATTTGGGATGTTGGTGGTGTGTTGTTTATTTGTTGTTTTTTGAGAGTATTGATTGGGAATTATGGGATATATAATTTGGATTGTGTATTAGATTGTATATAATTTGGGAGAAATATTGTTTTACGAGATGGATGATCGGAGGTTAGCGGGTATATAATTTGGGATGTTGGTGGAAATATTAGTTTGTTAGAATAATGATCTGGTGCTAGGGGTATTTTTGGCATCATCATAATATTGATCTCGTATTAATATAATATATTATAAGAATTATTATAAGATTATATTATGGTATCTAATAATAATATATTTTTGGGATCTATTTTGGTATATAATTGTTGAAAATAATAATTTATTTTAACTAAATAATTATGATTAGACGGAGCTTAAAAATTAACAATTTGGATTATTATTAGACAATTATTATTTTAGGAGCTAATAAAAATACGAATATATTCTTTTTCGAAATAAATAATTGGAATTATACAAATTGATGATAGGAAATAAATCTTAAACAAACATAATTAAGATATTAATGACGGCATAATTCATTTCGATGGTATTGTATCAAGGAATATGCTATTTGGGGTCTTAGTTCAAGAATATATTTCGCTATAAATTCGGGCTAAAATAGTATTATAGATATTGATAAGGATATTAGGAAGGTTATTAATAGAATTTGTTTTATGACATAATTTGGGATATTGTCGGTGTTAGTTAGGTTGTCGGTTTGGGGCTAAATAAATTTATTTAATCAACTTATATATATGTTACAATTTAATAAATATATATTAATTTAGATATTCTTGAAAAATATAATATTTTATATTCAAAATATATATATATATTAATATAATATAATATTTCTATTTATAATATCTTTCATAAATCCATATATATATCTATATTTTATATATTATTGTATATAATTGGTAATTTATATTATTATTTTTATAATTATTATTTATTTTATAAATATTATTATTTTATAATTATTATTATATTTATTTTTATATAAACATAAATATTTATAAATTATATTATTATATATAATTATTTATTTATTATTATTATTCAAATTATATCTAATAAATATGTGTTTTTTTAAATATGATATAATAATTAAATTATCAAAATATCAATATAATTTATTTTTAGGCTTATAAAAGCCAAATTAAATAACCATTTTGAAACATAATAGAAACATATAATGCAGGCCGAAGCCATCGCAAAATCCCATTTAAGGAAAGAGCGGCGCAAGCAATAACACAATTAGGATGTTTGAGAGATATTGTATCCTTTTGTGGGCAGCGTCCATAAGAAAGTAGAAGCATGAAACAGACACTATGCGAATTCTATGCGACCACGGGTTCCGTACGCTCGGGTTCCGCATCTACAAACTCTGTGTTCTGGGTCTACGGGTTCCGTACGCGCAAATTCCGCATGCACAAGTTCCGCGCCTCTAAGTTTCGCATACTCGGGTTCCGTACACGAACAATCCATATTTATATGAATTTTACATACTATTTAACATACCACAATAGAATTTTAAAGAGATTTCGTTTCGCCGATTTTTTTAGAGCCACCAAATTCTACAAAAATTTATAGACTAATATCCGAAAACCAAAGCGCCGTATTAACCCAAAATTCGAACAACATTAGCCGATTATATTTTAAAAATTCTAAGCAAAATTCTAAAAATCTTCCGAAATTTCAATAAGGCTACGAAAAAAAAAAAAAAAAAAAAAAAAAAAAATAAAATAAAAAATATCGCATAAATTCAGCCCAACATATCGCTACAATAACTTACCCGGATACCACAAATACACTCTCGAAACTATACCAATTTATTAAACAAATATTCAAAATTCAAATTATTATAAAAACAAAATACAATATAAATCATATAATCCTCATTTAATCCTAATTTTATTAAACCCTAATTCTAACTTAAAATAATGGTATCAATTATATTTTAATTATTTCAAAAACCAATTCAAACATATTTATAAAAACGCATATCATAATCAAGATTTATTACATATATAATATATTGCCCAAACTATACGGTACTTGCTAGATAAAAATCGGCGAACAAACACCTTCAATTAATATCCCAAATTTGATATCTAAATTGAAAGAATGGTGGCAGGTTGATGGTCACTTAATTCTGTACCGCAGATTCCTTTTCAGGTCACAATTGCGAGGTCCCGGCTTTGAGGATGTCCCGAAAGGACGTTCGAGTCTCACCACCTGGCCGGCAAGGCTGTCAAAGGCCCAGCCTGCTGCTATTTCATTTGTTTTGAGCAAACTTCACGTTATTCAATGAGTCAACCCCAGTGCCTTCAGTCCTGCGTGCAGGTTGGCTGGTGGCTCGCCGTAAAGACCTCATGCGCGGGACAGTTGCAGTGACAGTGAAGGGCCTTGGCTCGGCAGATTTACTCCATGGCCTTCGAGGTGTCAATGTGATTTGGATTTCTGGAATGCATGCTGCACCTGCGAACAGTCAACACGCCCTCCGTCCCTCAGATCAGACCAACTCGGTTCATGTGCCAAACTCATATTCTTTGCGTTGCCAAGTTGCTTGGAGCATGTCTTGGACATACTCTGCACCTCTGTGCAAGGCTGAACACATAGCATAGCTGTGACTTCTTCACAAAAACATCTGTGCAAGGGTAACCGTTCCCGACAATCTACTATCGAGTACAGGAACGTCTGCAGCAAGGCATCGGTCCGGACGAAAATCACACCAACCAGGCGCTCCCAAAGCAGCTAGCTCATCTTGTACATGGGAGGTTTACTTTCTCCGTGTATTGCTTGAACTGTGTCATTTCCAGCAGAACCTCATTGACTTGGTCTGAGTTCGAATATCCCGTGCATCCCGTCAACTCCTGCGTCTAGATGTGCGATTCGTACGTGGCCGATTCAAATATGGGGACCAGGGCAAACGAGAAAACTTTTGAAAAGCGACGGTCCCCCAGGATGCTCTTCGATATTCATTCAGGCATGAAAAGCAGGGAATTCGCAAGAATGAGAATGGGAAGGGGCCCTACCACTGTCAACATGTTACGATCAAACACAGCCAAGCTGAGAACTTACAGCAATCCCAGTGTCACCGACGGGTTTGTTTCGCATTTTCTTGTGCCGCCCCGAATGTGTTCAGAACGCGCCTCTTGCTCCACTACCTCCTCCGCAGGAAGCAGCCACTCGCGGAGCCTTGGCTGGGTGCATTTGGATGTCGCAGAGACTCAGGCGAATGGCACTCAGCACCATCAACAGGTAATCTGAGCCCAGCGCAATTTGCTCACGCTCAATTCATTCGCAGAGATCCCCTGAAACATCCTCCTGGCGGAGAACCCGCGTTGCAGGTGCCAACGGAAAATGGCTTTTTTGCCTGAGGGCCGCAGCGCTTGCCCGTGCTGAACGTCTGTGCTTGCTGTCTGTGTTCAAGACTCTCTAGGAGAGTTGCACCCCTGTCCATGCTTTCAGTCACCACATATGGATGCCATTGGATGTGCGCCCTGCCAACAAACAGCACAGGGTGCAGAGCATCAATCCGAGATTCCCACATTTGTTCTGTGCATCCCTTTATCCAATGAACGTGGAGTGGACGAGCCAAACGCGTCTTCAGTCAAAGTCACAATCGGTCCAGGTGAACCGAATCAGACGCACAACGGGCACCACCTCTGGAAGAATTAAAATCGGTCGCACACCTGACAGCCTTCCAAGAAGATCCACAAGGTTGCAAAAATCTGAGTGGCAGGCTCTAGCATCGAGGCCCTGCCTCTGCAAAGCCTCATGTGCTTGCCGCAAGGCCATCTCATCCAATGCCTAGGCGAGAGTCCATCTTGTGCTGCCTGCAACAAGGTATCCTTTTGGTTCAAGAACGCAACGAACGCCCAACAGAAGGAGGGATTCCATGCAGCAAGGTGTCCCAGGGTCGGCCCAGTTGCCCAGTGACCCACAAACATCCCAGCCTTTTCACGGAGCACCATGCGCCATCGCCCGCACGGACCATCTAAACCTCACGAGTGGGGCAGCTCATTGCGACAGACGCTTGACTTCTCCTCAGAACATTGTCCAAACCAAAGCTATGTGGTCGATTGCAAGACCATGGCTATTTCAAGTGCCATCCACTTTCAGTTTCTGCCACCCCAGACTCGCAGTGGGAGAAACACAACTTGGCTGGAACTAGGACCCCAGCAAAAAATATACTTGTTGCCTGGTTAGTGGAAAACAACAAAACAACCCAAAAAAAAGAACAGAAAAAAGGGGAACTAATTCTGGGAGAAAACACAAGGGGGCACCCTTGTTCTTAGCATCCGAAAACCTGAGGGGCGCTGAAGCTCTGGACATTTCCGCCATGGCGCTCAGGCCGGCGGCCAGGCTGGTTGGGGTCTGGCTCACCATCTGCGCCAGGCAGCTGGAGCAGCACCCCTCAGCCGAGCGCATCCAGTGCTTCCCCCCCAAAAATCCTGGGAAACTCGACTGTTCCAAATCCCATGGGGAAACTCAACCAACACAGGGTTTAGTTTGGCAACTTCCAATTCAATTTGGAATCACAGAAGCCCGAGGCCGCAAAAGGGTCTTTTTCGCCTCTAGGCAAACCTTTCAAGGCTGCTGGAGAGGCGCTCTGCAGTTGTGAACCAAAGTGCTACCCACTCCTCAAAGGGGGCTGTTTCGGAGAGCAGTTCACCAAATCACAATTACACCAACAAAAACGACTGCATGCTCTTTTGAGGGTGAGCAACGGATTTCTACTCTCCAGCTGCAAACCACTTGTGAAGCCACTGGCGGATCCAATGACAGCTGGAACATGCAGCCAATCTTGACATAGTCATTTTGACTCGGATTCCAATCCGGGGAAACAATTCAGCATAGAGAGGAGGAGCGAAAGAAAGCGTGAGTGATGAGCGACATCCTGCTGCACTCAGGATGCTAATGCGCCACTGTTCACCTATTGTAGTACGGTAGTTGCCTGCACATCTTGCATTAGACATGTTTGAAAGCAAGAATCTCATGCTGCAAATGATTCAAATACGTTTTCCCGCTGCTCAAGCTAGGCTCCCTTCTGCCAAGGCGCTTCCTCGAAGAGCCGCTCGCACGGCGTGCCTTCGCGAAACCAACAATTTGGATGGGAGACGTCCCTGGAGGCAGCACCAAGCTTCAATGAGTGGAATGAACAGCACAACATGTTTGACCGGAAATCTTGGGCCAATCACCTGTTTGTACTTTACTCAGTATCCAGCATGCACAATATCCACAAGCCCGTCTCAGGAAGGATGCCAAGTGCTGGATAGGATATGGCTACGGCTCAAAAAGACGCACCAAAATGGCCCCTTGGTAAATGGAACCAAAGACCAACACCTGCGTAACCCTAGCTCTTTAAATTTGAACCACACCCATATTTATACTGGAAGGCTGTCTCAAATTCAGGGAGCCTTCCGAATGGTCGGTTTCCATTTTGCTGCCAGCCAAAATCAAACTGAATACCTGATCGTTTGCTGTGCACCGAGCCAAGCTGATCAGCTTTCCATGGGAAGGGTGGGCGGCCAGCAGAAAAAAACAGGTAACAACAATATGCAAATCAACAATGCGAAGGTATCTACTCTGACTGTGTGTGACGCACAGAAGGGAAATTGCCGACTGCCAAGCTTGACAAGTCTGATATGGAGTGAACAGACCAATCAAGAAGACGACCCGCTAAGACCCACTATGACGCAATATCAGCCAATCATCTAGCAAGAGCAACTAATCCAGCGGGCCACGCGATGAATTCCAACCATGAGGTCCCCAGCCACAAGCCCACGCACATTGCAACGGCGCCCAGTCCTATATCTATCCGCCAACTGTAGCTCCAACCTGTTTGCAAAAAGGGACGACTCCAAGCGAGTTGAATCCATTTCTCCAACCCAACCCTCCAACCCTCCATCGGCCAAAGCAAAGCCTTCGAGAGCCACGGCCAGCCTTCCGCCGTTTCCTGAAGCTCCGAGGGCGAGGGCAGCTTCCAGCTCCCGTCGTGCAGCGCCTCAAATCGGGGCAGGTACCCGAATTCATACAAATTGACGCAGGGCACAGGAAACGACATGACGCCCTAATTGCAATATCTACGGCAACCCACAGGCTGTGTGCCTATCTAGGCAACAGGCGTTGTCCTGCCAAACATCAGTTCACCACATGGATGCACTTAGCCTGTGAGATGTGAGGTTGAGAGGCAGGGGAGAAGCTACAGAACCATGCAAAAACCGGACCTAAAAAGTGGTGATGGGTCAATCAACCGTTGTGCTGCAGGCAACATCAAGAGGTCAGTTGTTTGGAAGGTCGGAATACCACCCAGCGACTCAGAGCGGCTGGACTCCAGCCGTGTCCTATCTCAACAAGACATTGCAAGAAACGCGTACGCACGTACTACAGTCTTAGAATGGGGGCTGCTCCATATTCAATATAGATAGTAACCCCTGCGCTTTTCAAGATACTCAGCCGTTTCGCATGTCCGTCCCAAATTGACCAAAGACTACGGGATGCTTTTTGCCCACACCTCACGTGTGACTTCATGAGCCGCAAATGTTGCTTCGAGCAGGACGAAGCCCAGCCAGGGATAATCAGGGCCTACCCCCAAAAAAGCTCAATCTCGGCACATGAGAACACCAGTCCACCTCAAAGAAGCGATGCCCAAGTAAGAACCTGAATCATGGGTCCGTGGCTTTACAAAACAGAACCGAGCGAGCAAGCCGTCCAGGCGCAAGAACCATCCGCAGAAGACCTTCCGTCGCCTCCCAGGCCCAGCTCTTGATCGCCTGACCGATCAACTCTCCCGACAAGCGATCTCCTACGCCTCCTACCCATTGTGGCTTCCGCAAAGCGACTCATTCCGACAATACATGGGTGCTTTTGCAGTCACGCAAGCCTTTGTCCAAAGTCAGCAAATTCGCCTTGGCCCTCAGGATGGGGAAGCGGTCAGGTCCCTATTTAGACCATAGGGATCGTCCAACCCCTTCCCCAGAACAGAAGCGATGCTCAGACTTCCGCTCGTCGCAGACAGGATGACTGCAACGTTAGCTTGGAGCTAGGCTGCCAACGCCTAGTTCCTCACTGCTACCACCCCAATGAGAGTGCATCCTGGCAGATCGGAGTCCAGGAACACCTGTCCCAGCCTGGTCTGCGGTCAGGAATTGCCCCCGCCGCAACAGTTGCCCAGCGCCAAGCGTCACTTTCCAGCCCTGCGCTTAAGCTCCCAGCCCGCAGCACAGTTCCAGCCCCCAAGCCCAGCTCCTCCCATCTTGCTCAGCCTCCGCTGCTCAGCCTAGCCGCCTGCACTTCTTGGCAATCCCTTTTATCAGACTGCTCAGCCCAGCCCCGCATCCTTTGCTCAAGCCCGCCCGCATTGCTCTTGTGGCGCTTTTAAGCCTGGCGGAGGTGGGCAACGCGCAGCGTTTACAGGGGCTTGTGAGCCTGTGACTAGTATATGTTTGATGCGAGTGCCATATGAATGGGATAAACAGACATGATGATACACACGGGTGATGACGATGACAATGACGATGACGATTTCATGAACATCATGACTTGTTGGTTGTCATCATCATTGTTGTTGATTGCTGTTTCTGATTGTGACACTCGTGATGATGATGATGATGATGATGATGATGATGATGATGATGATGATGATGATGATGATGATGCTGATGATGATGATGCTGATGATGATCATGAGGGCGATGAGAATCATGAGGGTGATGATGGGGAGGATGATGACGATGATGACAACAACTAAATGATCGATGATGATGATGATGATGATGATGATGATGATGATGATGACGTAGTGCTGGTGATGCTGGTGATGCTTGTGATGCTGATGATGCTGGGTGATGCTGGTGTTGGTGATGCGTGATACTGCATGATGATGATTATTAATGCGAGGGCCTGTTTTGTTGGTAGGAACAGGATCTGAGACGCTTGCTCCGGGCATCCCTTGCTCGGTGCGCTCGAACTTGAATTTGTACAACGCCTGTTTTAGCCCATGCTGTTGGCCCATGCTGCCTGCGGCCCGCGACGCGGCGGTAGAGCTCTTATTGCTGCGCTGGTTTGTTTGCAGCAGGTAGTGGCTTTAAATATTGGCCGCAAATTGCTGAAGGAGTATACAGAAACTTGTCGAAACATAGTTTCCTATGGGGCCAGGAGTAGCGTGTCTGAACTTTGCACACGATGCACTTAATGCGTCCAACTGAAGTTCTAGAGTCCGGTCGAAGTGATGCCCTTGTGCCTGAGCGGGCATGCGCTCGCGCCACCAATTGAAAAATGGTTCACTTGTCCAAAACTATCTGGAAGCAAATAGGGAGACCATTTACGCCTATACACCATCAAAAGTGGGCAGCACCAAGGTTGACAGGTCGGCTTGGGACACGCAAGACTTTCCTGAGGCAAGCATGCCACTGTACATTGAACTTAAATTGCAAGCTACCAAGACAACGTGTGTGTAACCACAAACCACTCAAGTGCCTATGGAACTCTATTACAGCTGGAACGATTTGTTGGAACCGTTGTAACCATGTACTTGTGTGTTTGTTTCAAGACATTTCCCGAGCCAACCCATGCACATGCGGATCCTCTGCGAAAACAAGTGCTGTTGCTGACACTAGTTCAAGATATTCCCAATCGATCCAAATGGCAACCTATAAGAAAAGCTGATCTGAATGCTGCTATATGAGAGCCACCTCCTTCCCTGAGCATCTAACTCTTCAACCGTCCAACCGTCCAGGGTCCGTCCACCAAGCATTCGCGGCTCGCCTCCTCGTACTGGCCTTTGCAGTCGTCCAGCATGCAAGGGGAGGTGTTGAGCTCCTGAGAATCCGCTTTTGGCGCAAAATCACCCAGGTCTCCCACGGCCCCTTCAACAAACTCTGAAAGGATCATGTGCGAACCATGTTTGCAAAAACTACACCGCGCTGATCAAAAGCCAAGCTGCCAGCAGCCAGGGCCGCCAGTTCTCATCTAAACCTGTGTAGGGCTGCATATAACTGGCTGCAAACTTGAGCGCAGATATCCAATTGTGTGGCAACTGCCTGGCCATGACACAAGTACTCTGCTGAGCAATTGTCTTTCTTGAACAGAAAGTCACGAGTAACAAACAGCGATTGCTTTGACGGAGTGAACCGATGCCAACTTAACCCTAGCGAAAAACCTAGTTACGGCGAAAAAGCTATGACACACCTGAATGCGCAGGGACATGATATAGTCTCATCTTCAGCCGAGCAACCAAAGTCCAAACCGAAGAGTTCCTGAGCCACGCAAAGCAGCACAATGCTCTCCGCACCACCAAAAGACTTTGCCTAGCAATCCAACAACAAGCTCATGCTCCGTAACGCCGATGTCAACTACATGAACTCACACCAGCGTGGTGATGATAGACAGGGACGGCCTGCTCTTCCTAGCGAGGCTGCGTGAAATACGCATAGCCCACCAACCGCGTTCTTCTGTAAGCGGTAATTTCGTTGAGCTCCCACGAAGGTGGCAAACAAACACGTTGAAAAGCAGCAAAGCGCTGGAACAAGTCCTGCAAACGGATGGCAAATTCAGCCCCCTCCCGCCCCTGCCAGGCCGCAAAGGCCTTGCCCCCTGCTGCCCGCGGAGGCAGACCCGTCATCGCTGCGCGGGCGGCGAAAAGGGCGAAGCGCACCGCGTCCAGCAGCCTGCGGGACTTCTTGGGCTGCCCGTGCAAACCCAAAACTCATCTGCTGGCGCGAGAGAGGCCAGTTGGCCAGCCATCAGGAGCCTAGGGAATGCCTTCAAGTCAAGCATGAGCCCCTTGACACTCAGGCAGTCTCTGCACATTTCTAGGATGTCAACCCTAAATCAATTGGTGCTCCCTGCTAGACATCATCCTGCACCTGCTCATTGGGTCTATATAGTTGACACGGTTGCACTTACCCCGTCTGGCCACAATTCAATCGCCATGTTTCACAGTTTATCTCCTGACAGCAAAATTGGCGCGCGAGTGGGTGCACATTTTTCAGCTGTCAAAGGGTTTTGCCTTCCAAGACCTAACCAATCGACGATCTACCGTCCAGCCAACCAAATCAGCACTTCCCCAAACCCAGCCAAACCCACCCAAACCTACCCCAAACCCGCCCAACCGCCCACAGCTTAGCTCAATGCCAACCGCACCTGGGCCAAGTTTCCTTTGCCCAGCGCTCCTGCGACCCAGCGCCCAGCAGCTCAAAGACGGCCTCACGAAACATTTCGAGACTCGCTGAGGTCGATGGCGGCGAGGAGCCGACTTTTGCTTTGCAGTTGTCTGTCCTCACCATGATCTTCGCGAGCTCAGCCCGCTCTTGAAGGCCACATGCTGCAACACTGACCATTAGGGCCTCCCGAACAAAAGAACGATTAGACAAATGATGGACAGCAGTCCCAAGAATCTGAGAAGCGTGCGACATCGAACAAAACAATCAAACACACATACATATGTACATATCCATATATGTATATGTGCACATACGCTATAAACATATTGCACATACTTAATACACGTCAAACCTGTTTTTAGCTGAATCAGGGCATGCCGACTTGGAGCATTGAGTCTCACACGTCACAACCTGCCTCTTGCTTCCATAAACGTTTCCGTCTCACATATCCTTCGCTTCAACCAACCAGCCAATCTGTTCCTAACTTGTGCAAGCATACGTGGAAAGTTGAGGGTTGCTTGCGGTGCCATGACAAAGAATGGTTGTCCAAACTAAGGAATGGAAAAACAAAGCCTTTGGACAACAACGGGCCTGGACATCGCTGCATCAACCAGGCTTGCGCATTGCCTTTTGACCCCGAGCCACAAGTGTGGAAGCAATTGCCAAGGCCCCGGCGGAAGCCAACGCCGGCAAAAAAGGCAAACCCAAGGCTGGCCTTCATGGGCGTGCGGTTTTCCTCATCCCGGCAGTTCGTCTTGTGCGCGTTGGGCAACATCGACTCCTCGGCTTAAAGCGCGACTCTGGATGTCCTGCCACCGAGACAATTTGTGACATGCAGCTAAGAGTCTAAATCGAATGGCAGCGTGGCAATTCGAAAATAGACCTCTGGATGCACAAAGGCGGTGAGTGGATTCCAGTCCTGGCGGCAAGCTGGAAGTGCTACACTGGTTGTTAAGGATGCTGCAGGCTGCAGGCAAGGCTCATTCTAGCATGAGCTGTGAAATTCATGACAGTTCTCTACAGTCTCATGTGTTGCCCATGCTATGAAGGCACAACAGGCCCATTGTGCAAAGCCTCGAAGTGGCATTGAAACGACATGAAAGTCATGACACGCCAACGCTGTGCAAGCAACAGCCTCCAAGCTTCTCATGGAAAAGCTCTCGCGCCTATTGCCAAACGAGCCTAAATGCTGTGCAACAAATCGCGAATGTGTATAGAAAACCCACGAGCAATGTGTCAGCCACACAGGCAGATCTTCCCAGGGTCAAAGACAAGTCACAAACAGCGTGCTTGAAAAAAGGAACCCCGCACACAAAGGGAGGCAGCCAAAATTACAAATCTATCTGAAGAGAAACACATGACACAGCTTCAATAGAATTCAGCCAGGCCAAATGTTTCGTATCTGAGCTCTGCCAGACTAATCCCTTTCTCTTTCGCCGAACCAGTCCAGCACCAGCACCCACACGCGCAGATCGCACTTGGCGGGGCCAGTCTCCCTGTTGATCAGCAGCGGCCGCTCGATGTACTTCTGCGCCTCAAGCTTGCTGTGCCAAACATTATAATTTCAACTGCGCATTCAAACGGCACCAAGTCGATTGCCAAACAACCCCGCATGGATGCCAGCAGTCAGCATGTATGTTCATTCAGTGTTTGGTTGTTTGTTTGTTACTTGAGGCGAGGCTATCAGCCTTCCCGCGGGAATGTTCAAGAACAAATGCTTTTCAAGTCCACCCTGTCACGTGGCGAGGCAATGGCGCAATCATCCAAGTGGGGACCCGTTGGACATTATTCACACGGATATTTGTGTTTGCCAATCATTCTTAATGCGTGCCACGTCAGAAATATTCCGAACGAGTGTGTTCCTGATTCTGAGGTTTCTAAAACAACAAGCACTAGGGAGAGATAGACCGTGCCTGGCAACCTAAAGAACACCAGTAGCTTACCGCGTGTAGCATGTCTGCTGAGGCCCAGATCTCTGTCACACGCACTTTTCTATGCTTGTTGCTACTCGGCACCCTGAGCAAGCACTGCTACAACGACAGCAAGCACTGCTACAACGACATGGGTCTCACGATTTTACCCATGCCGTTTGAGCCCTGCTTGCCACACCTTTGCCTGAAGGCAACTCACCGGAAATGTGGCAACAGCTTTGGGTGCGTGTGTCAACGAACAGTCGGCAGTTTTATCACTATTTCAGGGTAGACCAGGTCAAATGAGATACAGATCGCCTTTCGGGTGGCCGTTGAAAAACAAACCAACATGGAATCACTCAAATGCTCAGCGTCCCATTTTGCAGCATACCGATGAGGGCCTCTCCATTTTTGACTACCTACGAAAAACTAGCGCAGGCGGACTCACAGACGCACGCGCACTTGTCATGCTCAATGCCCTTTCGCCAGGCAGATCTCTCTGAGGAAGGCACCACACAGTCTCTGCCTTGTCCCATGGAACGGTGCTGGTCGTACTCTTCCAGCAACCGCGCCAAACCTGCTGGCCCGCTGAGACCGGGTTGGTCAGTGGGTTCCTCAAATAGCACAAGGACCCTAAAATTGGCTTTGGCTTCCATTTGGCTTCCCTTTTGCCTGTGGAAATTGCCTGATGGTATGCCTCATAGCACCCCTGGAACGAAACACTTTTAGCAATCAATCAGCTTCTAAACGGAAGCTATGATCCGCTGGTGTTTGTGTGAGGTATGACTAGCGTAGTATTGCGATTGTACTGTGGCAGATTGTTCCACAAGGGCACCGGTTTACTCTCACGTTTCTCCTTGGAGAGTCTTCAATGCCTCAGGCTTCAAGACTTGCCAGGCTCACGCCTCACATCTGGGAATTTGTGAGTTTGTTATGTGTCAAATTTCTTCACTTGAGCAGGGAACGCAAGCAGGCAAGCACAAACGAGCCTCCAAAACCCCGCATTAGCACAGTGTTTTGCCAAGACAACGGACCGCTCCAAATCGATCGGCTGCAACGAGCAGCGGTACACTTTTCCATCAGATCATCGCATGTCCTCTAATGGGTGGGAGTGTACCTGTTGGTCGATCAGGCAGATTCTTGTCAGTCCAAGCGTCTTTCTTGCAATTTGACTCGAAAGAATGGTACAACTGAAAGGCCACAAACCTACAGTGTTGAACAGCAAAGCCTCAAAAAGGAGTGGACGTTCTCCGCATCCACTCGATGCTGAAAATGGCTAATCAAACAGGCCTGAGGCATTCGATGGAAGGGAAAGAGGGGGGAAGAAAGCGGTATGCGGTACGATGCATCTCATGCATTCCTTGCTTGCAATGGCATGTCTTGTTCGAGTTCCAACTCGAATTGACGCAAATGCTCTTATGCTAGATGTTGTTAATTCCAACACAGGTGTTAACCGCAACAGCACGGCAATTTCAGCCTGAGCTTTTCGGAACACACCCTCACCCGCAGATTGCTAAGCATGGCGTAGGTAGGAAAACTCCAGCAGTGTTTTCGTGACACAAACCCTTTGGGCAAACAGTTTTCCAAAGGGTGTTTGTTCTCCATTAAGGCCCCTGATTATCTTTAGGGGGCACTGTTTGAACACCACCCTGGATGTGCACCCCAAATGGTAAACTAATACCGAAACCGGAAAGAAGCGGACTGCTTATAGACAGTTGCCCTCGACCGTTCTGACTCTTTGGGGGCAGGGGGACCTCACGCGCATTCGATGGCAAGTTCAGTCTGCAGGACAACTGTGCCAAGTTGTGATGATGCCAGACACTTACGCAGGAAAAGTGCCCATGCGGGCCTGCGGGAAACAAAAAAGACAGCTCATTGATAATGTGGGACGTCCATGAGAACCATTCAGAACCACATTCTGGGCCTAAAGCAATCACCAATATCATGATGCCTGCCTGCCATTGACGAATAACGCCTCGCACTTCAACTTGCCTGGGTAGTCCAAGTACGCTGATCCCTTGCCGCTGTCTTGTCACGTTAAGAGGCCCTCGACAAATCTTGACCAGGTACTGAACGCCTGTGTGGACTATTGGCAGCAGAAACCTTTCGTCAGACAGCTAAACAACACATCAATGCCGACCTGCACTTTACACTTTGCAGCCTCAACCTCCGCCTCTCCCGAAAACTCGGAGCCTGACAGGACAGTGACGCCTTTGCCCTTCTGCACGCAGGGCTCCTTCAACGCCCACACGTTCTGGGGCCCATCCAGATTCTTCTGATGGTCCGGGTGCGTCTCCCCACCTTGGAAGGGGCAAGTTCTCGAAGCCCAAATGCAAACAAGATCTGTAAATGTGGGATGGGAAGCTGGGAACCGTTTCGTGTCATTGCTCCCTGAACGCTAGGTTGATCTGCCTTTCAATGGGCAATGATGGCAAGTGATCGATTGTGGGCCCCTGAACGCTAGGTTGATCTGCCTTTCAAAGGCAAGTGACACAAAGAGACGCATACTTAAGAAGCCTTAAGGGCTCCATTATGAACGGGCCCTTCAAATGGGCTGAGCTCTTGTTGCCGCCAACGGAGCTCGCCATGCGTTAGGCATAACGTAGAAGGTGTGATAACATTGGGACATCTCCCAGTGTATGTAAGCTAACCAAACGGCACCACACAAGCAAGCGATAACTCTTTTATCCAAGCAACTCATCTTCCCCTGTCAGATGTCTACGGCTGGGTGGGCCCCATGGGCCACCCACCACAAACTCTCAAAAACTGAAGAACGGGTGTGCAGACTGATAGCGCCCGCCCCTGAGCCGGGGCCCGGGGCACCCAGGCCACAGGGGGGTCTGCCACCAGGGGAAGTGAGTCACCCACCGGCTCCGGTCACGGGAGCATGGGTGGGCCCACGCTAAGATCAAATGCATCTCCATTCAGGAGACGCGGGAGAAAAACGAACTCCTCGCAGAGTTCCTGTTTAGGGACCCTGTGCAAAGGGTCGAACCCAGAGAAATCTGGGTGCGTCAGCTCATCGGCCCACTGGTTGAATTCCCGGGGCACGTGGGTGTGGAGCAGGAAGACCAGCTCCATCAGGATAGCCGCGGTGTAGGGCTTCTTGGATCCAAGGTTGAGCATCGCCATGACGTTGCCCTGATTGTCACTGCCCACCGGGAGTCGGACCCGGGAGGACAGAGGGCCTTGGTGCGTGAGGATCATGTTACAGAGGAAGAGCGTGCCCAGCATTTCCAGAGCCGCAATCCTCCGCTTGGGATCCCCATTCTTGAATGCCCACGGGTACTCCTCCACGTGGATCTGCTCGTGGAACCAGTACACCTCCTTCTTTTCCGGCTCCATTTTGTTGGAGCACCAGCCTCCCACAAATGCCAGTCCTTCGTCCGAGGCGCTAGCATCGCTGCAACCCCACCAAGAGGACTTCGGCAAGTAAGGGGAGTACTGGACGAAGGGCGTGTTGAAGAGGAACCGCAGCATGAACGCCAGCATCCTGACCACCTTAGGGGGTTTCCCCACCGTGGTGGTGGCCATCTTCCAGGCCCACAGTGGCTGAAGCATCGACTTCGCCAGCGGACATGCAGCAGTTGCCCATTGGATGCGGCCCAGGGCCTTCTCGATGTCCTTTGAGTGCATCGCCTGCCCTTCCACCATGGTGTAAGACCTCCTCCATCACCAGGATGTGTTTGTTGGCGGCCATGAGAACCTGCGGGATGTTCGGGTGGACCACGAAGCCCAGCCACGTGTTGACCTCCGCCAAATGTGTCTTCTTCCAGCTAAGCGGGGTGCCCAAGGCCAGGAGTGTTGCCAACAGCGCCACCGCCAAGTTTACTGCCCCCTCGCTGCGAAGCAGCCACAGGAAGTCATCCACAAAGACGAAGTTCCAATCCACTTGAGGGAAAAGTGCGTAGAGGACCCTGAGTAGAAGGGCTGCCAGGCGTCCCCAGTAGGATTGGGCACTGGCCATGCCGTATGTGCCTACCTTGTTCACCCACCATTCTTCCCCCAGTGAAGCCACCTGGAACCGCCAGTCCTTCCTGAGGACCTTCACTCTCCGGTGGGCCTTAGTGACGTCCGCCTTGAGCAGCACCCACCTGGTGCCCGGCTCCGGCCATTGCCAGCCCTCGGGTGGAGGTTTGACAACCTCCTTCTCGGGGCCGGGGGCACCCTGAGAGGGAGGTCCCTCCTCAGCTGCCGCATGTAGCCAATGAAGAGCTTGTACCCCATCCAGCACCGTCGGAGCCGTCGTCCTTTCCACCGTCTGGTTCCTGATGGTGTCATTGGCCCCGCCCACCGAGCCATCGTAGATGGTGCGGATCTTGTCCCCTTCGTCGATGCCCGCTAGGGGGCCTGGACAAAGATCCTCCATATTGCAGTGCTGCCTCTACCTTGGTGAGAGGGCCATCTACCATGCCCATGGGGACCTCCTCCAGGAATGTGCTACGGATGAGCTCACTGAAGTGATCCGCTGAGGGGTAGTTACCCCGGCCCGTGGGATGAGGGAGTTGCTGGAACTCCGGCTCCTCCCCTTTTAGCTCCTTGAGTGGCCAGATGCCCGGCGAGGCTAGGGGTGGGTCCGTGACCCCCAGTGCGACCCCTTGTTCCAGATCCCGAGGAAACTGGTGGTCGGGGTCCTGAATGTTCAGCGCCAGGCTGTGCAAGATGTCCAGGAAGAAGGGTTGGCCTTCCGCTGGTCGGCCTGCCCCCTGGCGCCAGGATCTCCCTGATATCTTCCAGCAGATCCTCCGGGAAGGGGTGTGACCCGTCCCCCAACGAGAGCGACTCCTGGAGTTTGTCCCCCCATGGCGACGTGAGGACACAGATCTTGGCCCCCATCGCTGCTGCTTTGGACAGTGGCCGAGTCCACGGGGCCAGCCGTCCAAGTGAGGGCTTCCCACCCCCGTTGAAGGCCCCTTGTCGGAGAGATTTGGGTCGTGCGTGATCGGCAGGGTGGTGGGCCGATCCGAGATCTCCATGCAATGGCGTGCCCATGGCTGAAGGGGAAGAGTTTCACCCCGCCAGCCGGCTGTGTTGGTGTCCGGACCTCAGGATTGTCTGAGGCCGAGACCGGACGTGAGCCCAAGGTTAGTCCCGCCAACGCTTGTTGGCCGGCCTTCAGCCTCAGGGACTGGCGCTTGTTGTCCCCCGGCGTGCTGGGAGATGGTTCCCTCTGCCGGGGGGGGTCACTTGGGGCACCGTGCCCCCGGCCTCAGCGCCTCCAGGACGGGTCCCGCTCTGCAGAGGATGGCCGCTGCGAGACCCTGCATCATCTGCTCTGGGTACCGGCTGAGGTCACTGGAGTTGAGCTTTTCCCCCCTGGGGTGAGCTCCGTGGTTGCATCGCAGATCATGCCAATGGTGAAGGGGAAGGTCCGTTGACAATGTCGTGGACTTCACTACCACTTGGCCCAGGCGGCGCTCGTCAAACTTGATGAGGGAGTGGTGGAGTGCGTTCGCCCATTGAATGTAGGCACGTGTGACCCAGATCGATGAGCACCTCGCTGCGCTCGGGCTCTTGCTGCACTCCATTGGGTCCATTGGGTGCTCCAGGAAGGAGGAGCCCACCTGCGGGACCGTTCGTTGACCTAGTCCTTGGTAAGGTACATCTGTCGGAGCATGAGCACGCTGTCGTTGTCCGTGTCCTCCATTACCCGGGGCTCCAGGTCCTCCAAGCCCCACAGGGTCTGCTCATCTGAGAATGCTCCACGTTCTGCAGTTGGGGCCGCCCCCCACAAAGGCGACCTTACCCGCCATGGCCATGGAGCACATTGTAGAGTATGGCTCGTCTCCCAGCATGTCTGTCCAAGATCGCCACCCTTTCGCCTAATGTCCACTGCCCAAATGTACTCCGAGAAGGCCGGGTTGTAGGCATGGAGGTAGGCATCCAGGGCCCCCGCGTCGTCCTTCCCAGCGTACAGCAGGATGAGGGTCGGCTTCAACGACTCCGGCACCGGACGTGGCGTCCACCTTAGTCTGAGCCTCAGTCTTTCCGGGGTGTCTTGCATCCAGGGGAAGGTGGGGCTTGTCCCCCCTGGGGTTTCCGTGTGTCCTTTGTCCGACCCACTGGTCGTCTGGCCCTGGGCTTGCTGCTTGCCCTGACGGTTCTGCCCGCCCTTGGAACGCCCCTTGCCGGGCGGATCCTCACCTCTGGGTCTCTCTGTCTCTGGGGGTTCTTCCCACTGCCTCGGCGGGTGCGGGGGAAAAGGGTGCTTCCGCCCTTCTGGAGTGCCCTGGCTGGATCCACTCCCTTTCTTCGGTGGAGGGGCTTCCGGGGCCGGTGCCCTGGAGAAATCCCCTCCCACCTGCGGCCGTCCTGGCCTCCCCAACTCTGTCTGCCTTCCGCTGTGGCTCTGGTGGGATTGGCTCTCCCCCGCTGTGTGCACTCTCGCACTGGTGGCCTGTGATCCCTTCGGAGACCAGGCAGCCACGGGGCCTATGGCACCCTGAGTGGCCTCCTGTCACTTGGGGAGGTGTGGGCATGCCTGTGGCACATGCTTCGCTGGGGGGGCATCACACACCCACCCATCCTTCCTGACCGGGCAGTTGTGGGATCGCCGCATGATCCAGGGTGATGATCCCTGCAGTACGCCACCCCTTTGGGATTCTTGAAAGCCCAGTGGTCTGGCCATGGGGTCGAGGAGGTGTTGGGGGACTTTCCTTTGCCGCCCTTGCCCTTCGGCTTGGAATGGGTAGGCCCCGAGGGCCAAGATCCTTTTCCCCTTCTCCCATGGGTGCCTTGCTCTTGCTCTTCCCCTTCGTCGGCGCCCTGTTGAGGTGCTCATAGACCTCCCGTTGCCAGAAGAGGAAGTCGCCCCTGATGTTCTTGAGGGCTTCGGAGAGAGTGGTGCCCTGGTGCACCATTTCGTGAATCTTGCGCCATGCATTGCGCTCTGCAAACAGCAAGGTGGTGTCGCTCGGGGGAGGTTTCCTGCCGGCTATGTCCTCCCCATAGAACCAGGCATACCAGTCATCCAACTCCTCCTTGGTGACCCTCAGGTTGCCAAACTGCGGCAGTGCTGCCGTGCACATCAGGAGCGTCGTCCTGAAGGTTAGGTGCAATCGTTCCAGCTGGCGCCGAGATGTAGGGTGGCTCCTCACCTCTTCTTCATCCTCCCTGTCCCAGCCGTCCACCGTGATCTTCTTGTGGGTGGATGAAGGGCGTTCCCCTTCTTCCGGGAGCGCGCTCACGATGTGTTTTGCCGGGATGTAGCCCAATTCGCCCTTGGCAATCATGCGCCATTGCTTCTTGAGGTAGCCATCACTACCCTGGAATTCCAACCTCGGCTTCGGGGCCCCATGCGT